TGATTAGGTGGGTTTCTGTGGGGGGTGGGGATGTCCTTCTAATTATTCTAACCCCTTTTAGTCGGTTGCCTAGACGACAATTGTGTTTTTTTTAAAGAGCTGCAGTCTTCATTCCATTAAAACCACTCACAGCCTGGGGATGCACCTGCAACCTTGGGTCGGATCTATCAGAAATGTCGTCATAACTGTACGCAGGTCCTTCCTCGGTCAAATGCACAGTTAGGTCACCACACCCGAGTGGAACACTCTCAACAGAACCCCCAGCAGGAAAGGAAGCACGGATGCTTGAGATCGATTCCCTCATCTCAGCTATTTTTATGTTGTCTGTGTCCCCCTGTTCAGTCCTCCAGGGTGGCAGCATGCCGGTGGTCCAACTCAGTGTCTGAAATCAATTTCCAGAAAGGTCTGGTGTCGATCAACAAACCCCAGCTTTCTCTTTCTCATAGTCAGAAATGCATCTGCAGGCATGCACACGGAGTCAGCAAGCCTCAGGGGGCTGCGTGTATTCACCTGCCCAACACTTGGATTACAAACAAGTGCCACTACGCCCGGCTTCTTCCATAATGGATTCTGGGGAGCCAAACTCAGGTTCCTCATGCTTGCCCAGCCATCTCTTGAGCATTCTTGAAGAACAGAGGATCCAGAGGATCACAGAAAATCAGCTTCACAAGTTCAAGGCCAGCCTAAGCTACACAGTGAAGCTTGAGGCTATCACGGGCTATGCGGTAAGACCAAACCTCAATAAAATAAATACTATAAGCAGTGAAACAGGCACAACCTTGCTCACCGAGAAATACAGTAAAGACGGAAGTTCTGCCCTTTACCCACTGGACTAACAAAAATGGTTAAAGTCAGCAAAGGCTGTGAGCTGTGTCCTTCCCTCGTCATACCTGTGTGTACAGGGTGCAAACACATGACATCTCCTTGTGTGTGTGTGTGTGTGTGTGTGTGTTTGTGTGTGTGTATAAAATGCTGAGCATTTGGGCAGCATAAAGAATGCTCAGATTATAATGCACATGCCTCTTGGCTCAGCAGGCGTACTCCCTGGGGACTTATCCTACGGGGTTCGTTTGTTCAAGCGCACAAACAGAATGCCAAGCACGGCGGACAGTTATGGCAGACAGTGGATGAGGCTTGTACGTCTACCAGTATTGACTGGGTAAGTGAACCCATGTGCTTCTTCACATGAAGACTGGCTTGAGGTTGACAAGAAATACCAGCGATGCTTGCAGCTCAGAACCAGGGAACCAAAAGGAGTGACGTAGATATTTTTTGAGGCTTGAAATTTTCTGCGTGTGTCTTGAGTGCAGGCGTGAGTGTTGTGTGGCACGCGTGTGGAGGTTAGGGGGCAGCCTCGGGTGTCAGGCGTTCCACTGTGAGATGGGGGTCTCACTTGCTTCTGTGACATGCGACCGCTTCCTTGGTCTGCAAGCTTCTGGTATTCTCCTGTCTCTGCCTCCCATCTTGTCCTGCGAGCACGGGGATTATGTGCGTGCTACTGTATTTGACTTCACAGATTTCTGGGGGATCAAAACTGAAGTCCTTATGGTTACGGGGCGTGCACTTCACTCACGGAACCATCTCCCCAGCCACCATTTGAGTTTTTAACCACTGTGTACATTGACTGTTTAAAAAACAAAACAGCGCAACAGCTCCCTTTATTATTAAATTTATACATGCGTATGTGTGTGTGCCTGCATGTGTACTGTGTGTACATGTATGTGAAACCCAGAGGTCAATGTTGGGCATCTGCCTCGGTTCCTCTCCACCCTCTTTTTGAGTGTTTCACTGAGCCTGGAGTTCACTGATACAGCCGGGCTGGCCGGACGGTGACTCTGCTCCAGGGAACCCCCCGCCCCTGCTCCCCGGCACTGGGGTTACAGACAGACCCCGCGGAACTCTGCTTTTACACGGGTACCTGGGATGCTAACACGGCTCGTCGTGTTGCACGGCAGGCTCTTCAGCTGATCCATTCCCTCAGCTTGCTTGTGACTGTCTGTCCGGTATACCAACAGGGCAACACTTCCTCTACTTTTCTGAGATGAATCCCACCCCTAAATTAGACGACTTGGGAACCAGACAGACATCTTCAGTTCCCCGAACTTTCAAGACCTGCTGGACCGGCAGATGCATTCTCAGCTACCCTTCACCGTCTATCAGCTCTGCCATTCACAAGAGGGCGGCACTGTTGTCATACACCTTGCCTGGGCCGTTACCCCCTGGGAGTCTCAGCCAGAAATACCATCCCTGTGTCTCCTTTTATCCCTTCTCAAAAGATCCCCACGGCATTTCTGCTCTTAGGCTGTTTCAAAGGAGAGGTTGTCTTTCTTCACTGTGAACCCTCTTCCATTTTATCTCCCCCACCACACCCCGGGAACCAGGCATCCCTCTCTGCTGCTAAACTTAGAACATGCAGCTCCCCATTGGCCCAGGAGACAGATACACCGGTTCTTGAGCTAGACACTACCCTTTGTCCTTTTCCTGCCTACACTGGCTGCCAATGTGTTCTACTGTTCAAAACCCACTGAGAATTGCTACCAGGTAGCCTTAAACGCTGCACACAACACCCTAACGACATAGTATTATTTGGTACAAGGTGTTGGTCAAAGACTGAGGTCCTCCGTCGTCTTTTACCTTAGTAAGACAGGGTCTCTCGCCAAACCTGAACTCACCAGGTAGCTGGCTGACCGGCCAATGAGCCCCGAAGACCTGTTTGTGTCTGCCATGCCCCCCGACCCCCAACACTGGAGCTACAGACGTGTGACACAACATTCAGGTCTTTACATGGTGCCATGTACGCCACACTGACAAACTGTCATGGGCCACTTGAGTTCACCAAGAAGCTGGCCCTGGAAACAGGGGTTCCTCCTGCCATCATTCCCGACCTGAGCATGTTGGTCTTAAAGTGTCCTCCTCCGAGGCACCTTGCCCAGGAATGGGCCGCATCTCCCTCGACTCTTTTAACAGGGACAGGAAAAAAAAAAAAAAAAAAAGGTCCCAAGAGTAAAAAAAAAAAAGCACGGTGTCCTTGAGAAATGCTAGAAGGCAAATCACTTCCAAAAAGACGTTACTATTTTTGGCCCCATGATATAAAAAATGCCTACGGTGGAAAAAGAAAAGCCAGGAGTTCTGCGGTAGGAAGCTCGCCCTGGGAAAGCTCCATCAGTAACTAGCTTCCCCAAGCATCTGTTTGATGTTACCTAGATCTGGAGGCGACCCTTGCCAGGGACTGCCTGTTCTGGGACCTCCAGCTGGCTGCCTTAGGGGCTTTCCCAGTTGGCTTCACTGGATGTTTATAAACCTGTGATGAGACGATGCTGTTCTTCTGCCCTTACCGGTTCTTTCTGGAAGCCCCCACTGGAGCACGCTGCACTAGGAACTGCAGCTGGGTGCCCTCCGTGAGTCTTCTCTGGTCAGTTTCTGCTTGATGTTTTTAGCATCGGAGTTCCTGTTTTGCCCTCTATCTGCTTTCCTACCTACCTGTTGCTTGCTATTTATTCTCTTACTTTTTGCTTGCTACATGCTTAATAAAGTCACTCACTAGAAACCAAAAGTATGGCTACCATAGACCATTCTTGAGCCCGTGAACCTGTGGGGCTGCCAGGGATCCCAACTCAGGCCTCCTAGTTCATGCAACAGGCACCTGAGCTCCAAGTTCCTTAATAAAAAGATGTTGTTTAACTTCTTTCTGGAGGGAGGAGAATGAGACAAGTTGGGGAAGGGTCCCACTGGCTGGCCACAAAGTTGAGTGGTTCACAGCATGAGGGACCCCAGAGTCCCCACACATTCTACCTCACCAGGGACCCGTGAGCCTGTCTCCCCAGAACCACGAGAAGGAACGAACGCCACACTGCGGGCCTCCTGTCTGTGTCTCGTCTGGCTCGAGGCGGCTGTACTCTGGCACCTGTTTCCACGAATGGGCTTTCACCCAGAGGCAGGTCCTTAGAAAGGCATGGTCGCACGGCCCACCTGTGACTAGCGCTCTGACTCTGGAGGAAGGCAGAACAATGGCCAGCAAATGGCTGGACGGACGAGGGGGGCGAGGGTGACGTGAAAGCCACAACAGGAACAATTAGAATCCAAATTCTTCTACCCCCAACCCCCCACGTGCACCCAGGAAGTGGAAATGAACATTAACTAGGCAGGCCTAGCTACTGTTTCCAGTGCCAAGGACTCCGCCAAGAGCCTTGTCCATACCAGACAAGTGCTCTAATGCTGACCCACACCCCAGGGATCCATCCGTTTTCCTTTTTAGCGTCATTAGCGTCGTGTCTACATAAATTATATCTACTCCTATCACCACCAATGAAGGTTAAAAATCAAAGCATCAGACCAAGAAATGGTGTTATCCAAGAGAAGGAAGCTCTCACTCCTGCTTACCCCCACTCCTTTGTGGTGATGGTTAAAATGTAAAAGTCCTAAGCCCAGTGCAGCGTTGCACGCCTTTAATACTAGCATAAGGGGGACAGAGGCAGGGGCAGGGGGGAGCTCTGTAAATTTGAAGCCAGTCTGGTCTATAGAGTTCCAGTACTATGTAGAGGGACTGGCTTAAATTAAAAAAAAAAAAAAAGCCCTACAGTTTCACCACCAACCATTTAGATAGAGCCCAACGCTTTAACATGTGTGAGCTCGGATTGGCTTTGTTGTGCAGCCATGCGCATGCAGGTGTCACGAAGAAGACAGGGGAGCACGCGGTGTCAGAAGCCGGTTGTGAGCTGCTCGCTCTCAGTGCTGGGAACCAAGTCTATGTCCTCTGAAAAAAAGCAGCAAGGACTCTCAACTGCTGAGCCGTCTCCCCTCCAGGCCCAAAACGCGATGCTTTTAAATGAACTGTCTGAGCTACCATTGGGTTCCTAATTTGGAGACAGGTGGACCTATTTACAGAACTATTGATTTCTTTTGCCCAGGCTCAACTGAGTGCGTTTCAGGTTGTGCTTGCTTTTTTTAGGTACCCCAGGGTTTCTTAAAATATGTCGGTTTTCCCTAACAGTTGGCTTCTCTCAGATCCCCGCCCCCCCTCCAGGCCCAGCTTGTGTTTGCCCGTGGCTTCCTGGTGGGAGAAGCAGAAGCCAGACACCCTGTGCCAATTTGTGGTATTTACCTGGGGCACTTGAGAAACATGGCCGGTCAGGGAATTGACTCAGAGCCTGGTTTGGGAAATATTGATCTGAAAAGATCAATGTGGCCGTCCAGAGAGTTCTTTGATGAACTCGGGTTTTTTTTTTAAGGACCTGCAAAGTCAAGTGTACCAAAAAGGCGCTGGCATTTGCGTGTCTCAAGCTGGACCCAGGAGGCTGGAGTCACCGACCCGGAAGGATGCTGGATGCTTTTAACAGGGTAAAGAGTCAGAAGGGACAACCCCCCCCCCCCGTCCTGATCCTGTCTCTGCTGCTAACCCCCCCCCCCGTCCTGATCCCGTCTCTGCTGCTAACCCTAACCCTGTCCTGATCCCGTCTCTGCTGCTAACCCCCCCCACTGTCCTGATCCCGTCTCTGCTGCTAACCCCCCCCCGTCCTGATCCCGTCTCTGCTGCTAACCCCCCCCCCCGTCCTGATCCCGTCTCTGCTGCTAACCCCCCCACTGTCCTGATCCCGTCTCTGCTGCTAACCCCCCCACTGTCCTGATCCCGTCTCTGCTGCTAACCCCCCCGTCCTGATCCCGTCTCTGCTGCTAACCCCCCACTGTCCTGATCCCGTCTCTGCTGCTAACCCCCCCACTGTCCTGATCCCGTCTCTGCTGCTGCTAACCCCCCCCCGTCCTGATCCCGTCTCTGCTGCTAACCCCCCCCGTCCTGATCCCGTCTCTGCTGCTAACCCCCCACTGTCCTGATCCCGTCTCTGCTGCTAACCCCCCCACTGTCCTGATCCCGTCTCTGCTGCTAACCCCCCACTGTCCTGATCCCGTCTCTGCTGCTAACCCCCCCCCTGTCCTGATCCCGTCTCTGCTGCCAAAGAGCGCCCTCTTCTCTGGGAACGGCTAGGCACGCACTGAAGGGCATGAGATGGTTCTGAATGCAGCATGGAACCACCCGGCAGGCTTCCAAGATGTGTTACAGCCACGAGCCACGCCAACTCACTGACACCAAACACCAAAGGTCAATCCCAAAACCAGGGAAAGTTAATTAGCTGTGGAACAGCGAGTATGATGCCGCTGGCACCTGCGATGGTCACACACACGCACGCGTGCACACACCACACACACACACACGCACGCATGTACACACACAGGCACGCATGTACACACACAGGCACGCCCACACACGCACGCACGCATGTACACACACACGCACGCGTGCACACACACACACACGCACGCACACACACGTATATATTGGGAAGAAACGTGTAGGACATCCTACACAGGGACGCCCCATTAGAAATGACGTTCCACCTCTGCTCCTTTGAAGATGAAGGATGAGTGAGTTGGGTGTGGTAGTTATGGATACGCCGCTGGACCAGAGTGGGATGAGGCACGGGGAGGGTTGCTAGACAACGGGGGGGGGCCCGCAGATGCTGGAGGTTATTTTGGCCCTGGTTATGAATGGAGTCTTTAGCCCCTGGTGGGTGTGGACAGTTACTAGCCCACTAATGGTAGGGATGGATGGTGAGAAAGGGGCTGTTGGCATAGGGCGGCTGTCCAGTCAGCAGCTAGACCTTCAACGCAGCGAACTCCGCTGTGTCTAACAGCCTCACCGGGGATGCGGGTCGACAGGGCGATGGATGACAGTGGGACCAGTCGCCAGAGCCCGGAGGCTGGCACTCACCTCTTGTGTGGCCTGCTTGACTGAACCCTGGTCCTGAGCCACAACACAATACTACCTTGCAGGGTGACCAGGAACATAAACTACAGCAACACACACACACAGAGACACACACGGAGCATGAAACTGGCCATTAGCCCCTCTACGTGATTGCAGGTCACTATCTACCTACAAGGGGTTTTCAACGTCAGACGTCCGCCCCGCTCAAACAATTACACCAGTGCTTCAGATGGGACTCGGTGAACAGTGTGCTTGCCCTGAAGTGGGGTCCACAGATGACACGGCGGCCCTGGACGTGGTATATCAGAACCCTTCCGGGCAGGAACGGAGATGATGGCACCACTGCCCGTTACCTGGCTGGGAATCCCCTGCGGAATGAATCCACTCTCCCGAGTAGGCATCCGGCGAGCGCCTACTATCTGTCAGGCACTGGAGAACAAAGGCACAGCTCGTACTGAGGGACCTAAGGCTCCAAGACGAGATGAACGGAGGAGGCTGTTTCGACACAAGCTCGTGAGTACAACGTTCGCGTGTCTGGGGGTGGAAGGAGGTAATAGCAGAACACAGAACACAGAAATCAGCCCAATTTGCAGAGGTGGGGAGGGCCGTCAAGAGAGTCCCCCGAGGAGGGATGACGTGTGAGCACGGAGGCTTAGAGGCTAAGCAGGAGCCGGGGGTGACAGACATCTAGGAGGAAGGAGTAGCATCTTCGAAGGCGCAGTCATGAGGCCTGGCGTACGCGGTTTGGCGTGACTGTTCTCCCAGACACGTGAGGGGTCTGGGATGGGATACGCTAGGGCAAAGAGACAGAGGCAGAGCTGACGGTGCGGTCAGATTATGCGGCCGCGGAAAGACAAGAGTAAGCGTGCCAAGGGTTGCAGAGATCAGAGAGGGCACCCCTGGCAAGGGGGAAAGCGGGCGGAGTCGTGAAGGAGCAGAACTGCGGACCGCCTGGATACAGGAGGCAAGAGAAGGAGGAGCTGCGGCAAAAGACAACTTGGGGGTTGGGGGGAGGAAGCTGTGCATCTCAGGGGAGGCGGCCCAAGACGAGCTTGACTTTTTTTTATTTTGGGTCAGGGGGAGTTTGGACGACACTCGGGACAGCCCACGTTGAAGGGGCGGTGCAGAAGCCCGTGCACACAGTCTTAAGCTGAAGATGATGGCTTCCAGGGTCACAAGGGCGCTATAAAACGTGACAGGGCCTAGGTGGTTCCAGACCGGCGAAGGAGAAATACGAGCGAGCGGAGAAGACATCCCAGAGAAACAGATGTCCAACAGGGACAGGAGGGGGGGTGGCGGGAGCAAAGTCACTGCACAGAAGACAAAGGGCCCCCCACCTTGCCTCAGTCAGAACGTCCCGTGCAAGCAGCTAACTAAGTCCCCTCGCCTGGTTAAACAGAGAGGCTGACTGAGGGTACCGAATCATCTCCTTAAGAGGCCACAGACACAGCCGGGAAGAGGTAAGCGACCATGAGGACAGGCGCCCTTCACCGTGGGACTGTTATCAGGGGATACCTGGCTACCACCTGGGGCCAGGCATGGAAACCTCTGCCAGAGTCGCCCCCAGGTGAAGAAAACACCTCAGCCACGGTGCCCAGAACAGCCTCAGCACGGGACGGTCTCGTCCCATACCACCTAGCTGAAGGTTCTCCTTCAGACAGCCCCGGGGTCAAGGGCACCATGAGTGACATCCAAGGAAGGCTTCTGTGGGAGAGAATCAATGCAATGAAGATGGAGTCCAAGAAAGGAAAAAGAAAAGAATAATCTTTATTACTTGGAGACACATTGTAAAAAAAAAATGCTTGGTCGTTAAGATGAAGAGACCAGAACACATTTATTCAGATGCAGCACATACCCTGGGGATCGGAACACACCCGTAAACAAGCATCTGGGGGCGTTGATGAGAAGGCGGTCCACTCCCCTGTGCAAGCGTGCAGAGGACTCCTTCCTCAAGAGACTTTTGCAGAACCAAAAAGGCCAGATTTTTAGCAAGAGAAGATGTTAACACATGTCCAAGGGTTTAAAAGGAACCAGATTTATAATCACACATATCCAAGTGACACAAAATTAACTGAATTGCAAACAAACAAACAAAAAAAAAACACAAATGAAAGAGCATCCTGGGGCTGCCTATTAAGAAAAAAGAGGTTTGGTGCATGACTTGAAATGGCGTAAATAAATATTTTGGTACAAGTTTCACCCTAAAAGACAACACGTTGCTTTGGGCTTCTACAGAAAGGGAGGGGCCACATGCATCCCTCTGTGCAACGAAGGCTTTGGCACAGCCTCCAGAAACCTGGCAGGCTCTCATGAGTATTACCCTCACTTCATCGTGACCACACGCTGCTTCTCGAAGAAGTTAAATCTCAGTGAAACGCAGCCTCAACCCTGACAGTAGTCACAGCGATGTCTTCTGAAATCACACAGCTTAGCGGCACCAATCATTACGGCATGGCAGATCACACTTACGTTTGAGAAGTCAACTCTGGTGAAATGTGCCATGCAGCTGCTGGTTAGCACCTAGGCTCAAACCCACTGAAAAAGTGTAAATTTCCAAGTCTCCCTGTTATAGACATCGTATCTGATGAGTTCCTATAATCTTTATTGAGCTTTTGTTACAGAAGGGGTTATTACGGTTGCCTTTATGGGAAGTTAGTCTGAATGCATGTTTTCAGCGCAGATGAGAAGTTAAATTTTAACCAATCACAGAATAGAGAGGACCTTGGAGATCCCTTAGTCCAGTCCATTATTTTCAGGAAGGAAATGAAACCAAAGAAAGGGGAATAACCTAGCCAGGGCCACACTGCAATGGAGGCCGGGACCCAGGCAATCTCCAAACCTACAACGGGACTATGTGACAAGCTACTTCCCCGAACTTTCTGTTTGTTGGTTTGTTTTGTGGCCCCACTGGTTAGACAAGATTATCAGGTACATATAGCATAAATGACAGAAACTTTCACTTCAGTCTTAAAATCAGAATGTCAAAATGATTCCTGAGCCTTTAGCTACCTTCATTTCATTGAGAATGCAGTCCACTATCTACGTCAGTCATCTCCAAATGCTGACACGGACGCTAAGAGCGCTGTTAACGACCCTTGGGCAAGCACATCCGTGTGACACCAGGATGCTTCTCACTGAATGCGGTGACACCGTGGTGGTGACTGGAAGTAAGGCGTGTCAAGTCTCTCAAAGTGCTGTCATGAGTTTGTCCCGGTACGTGACACTGTAGGCCCCTCCTAAGTTCCTCTGGTTCTGGTCGTGGACATAGTCAAAGTGGCCGTCATCTCCACTGGCTGGCGCTTTCCAGAGTGGCCTGTCATCCTGAAAAGATGGCCTGTTTTGTTTGCAGATGGGCTGGTTACTGGGAGAATGGAAGACAATTCAGAAAGGGGCGAGGCCAACCACGCACCCACAGAGGAAATGGTGGGGGGGGGGAAGAGAGTGAGTGGGGTGGCTGGCACGTGAGTGGCCGGGTGACGTCAGGATTTTAAAAACTCCTGGGTGGAGCCGGGTGTTGGTGGCACACGCCTTTAATCCCAGCACTCGGGAGGCAGAGGCAGGCGGATCTCTGTGAGTTCGAGGCCAGGCTGGACCGACAGCCTCCAAAACAGAGAAACCCTGTCTCGTAAAACCAACAAAAAAACTCCTGGGTGGTTGCCGGCCAACTTTGATGCTGATAAAAGCTGGGTTTCTGGCCAGGTCACGGTTTTTTGAAGGGGTGGTCCACAGTAAATCCTGACAGTCCAAGGGAAGCTAGCTGAGGGGGGAGAGCCTCCTTAAACCACATGCGCACGGTGATGGCTTTGGATGGCATCTGCCCCAATGTGGACCAGTGAGCTCTCCTCAGGATGCAACCCTAGAGAGCACTGGGTGCCACCTGGGTTCAGCTACGGATCTGGGACGCAGCTGGCCCATGGTTCTCAGGGGACACTAAAGCCTGGCACCAGCAGGGTCACCTCAGAGGGAAAGTGTTGCCTTTGGGTGAAGACGAGGCTAGGGCATGTATGCTACGGAGGGAAAACATTCTGACAAAACAGGCAATCCTAGATACGACGTCTGCTTAAACCACTGTTCACAGGACAGTGGCCCTTCTAAGCCTCAGCTACGTGTCACGTCTGAAAAATAAGCTACATTTGAACCATGTGAAGATTTAGCATTATCATCCCACTGACCCGGCTTGCCCTAAAATGCTACATGAATATCAAAGTGTTAACAGCGTTAGGCTGCATTGCTATGTTACAAGGGCCCTGACAAATGTTTACCTAATTTGCTCAAGGCACATTTGTTCCTACCATTCGATTCTCCCAGCTCCTTCAAGGAGCAAGGCCCACAACTCCCCCTTGGTCAACCTGAATTCACCAACCCTGCTTCTGAAATAGCTGGACACATAAATGCCAATTAAGACTCACCAAAAAGGCAAATCTTAAGGACATGCCTGCCCCCCCCAGGGGTCACCTGACTCCAAATAGCACGTCAGGTGCCAGGTCAGGGGACACTGAGGGCCTTCTGGCCGAACCCCACTTTTTTGTAAAGTACATTTCACTGGCATACGGTCACGTGTTCCTATACAAGTCCTCACCGCCTGCTGCTGTCTTCAGACAATGACCACAGGCTGAAAATTCAGACTCTCCTTTGCTGAAAAAGTTTAATAAGCCCCAAGTAGGAGAAAAAAAGGCCCACTGCCACCAAAGCAAGCAGTGCCTTCATTCCTAAGGGGGTTAAAAACCCTTTTTTAGAAAGGACCGCAGTTTCCACGCTTTAATCACACTCCAAGAAAATAAATTCTCAGAATAAGAAAATGTTAACTTGCGAATCGTAAGCACTGTCTCTGGTACAAAAACCAAAATAAAATATTTTAAGGTTAGGAGAAAAGTTTATTATTCTTTTTAAAGTCTGTTATTTCACAGAGACTGGCGGTCACTTGCTTCCTTTGCTTTGGAAAGCATTGGTTTCTGCCTTGGTCATACCAGCCCAAGGGGAGTTGTTCCTGCTGCAGTCTAGAGTGGGGGCGGGCGTGGGGGGACTTGCAAGGGGACAGGATACCCTCCTGAAACAGTGCTCCACACGCTCACAAACTCACCTGACGTTTGGAGAGTGAGGGCGCCACCGGGGCTGGCTGGGGTGAACGTTAGGATGGTTCTGAGGCTGCGAAGGGAACACCAGACTTGGTTACTCAGTGACCTTCGGATTTCAATGGCTGCCGTGTCACTGGCCTGCTCTTAACAACGGCCCCCACCTGGGGAGGGGAGGGGGCTGTGAATAGGAGAGCTGTGGAACGGAGCCCTGGTGTGTGTGTGTTGGGGGGGGGGGAAGGGACGTCTGGGCATTTCCCAGGGCGATCTTGTTTCTCCCACTAACAAAGGCTGGGAGTTGGGGTGGGGGCTGGAGCCCAGCGTCTGGCTCACCAAATAGCATCCCCAGAGAAGAGGCTGGGAGGCAAGGGGACTCATCTGACTCCCAAGGAGGCTACCCAGCATGCCCTGGTCAGACAACACCTCTCTCCCAAGGAAGCATGAGTCAGGAAGAACGGGGCAGGTGGCTTCGCTCTTCGGAAGCCCCCTATGCTGGTTTTAACATGACAGTAACAGCTGAGTTAGGCTGGCACACAGACAAGGGCAGGGTAATGAAAGCGCCCGGCGGGTGTATAAATGGCAGCATCCCCGGGAAGACCGTTTGTTTCCACGAGGCTGAGGCTGGTGGACTGAAGGAAGGAGGGTGGGAAGCTGTTCATAGGAAGAGAGGAGCCGGTTGTGGTGGCGCATGCTGGCAGAATTTGCTGAAGGAGGCAGAGGCAGGAGGATCAAGGGCTCCAGGTCAGCCTGGGCTACACATTTTTGGGGCTGGGGCATGGCTAAGAGTACTGGCTGCTCTTCAGAGGACCCCGGTTCAATTCCCAGCCCCCACATAGCAGCTTACAGCTGTCTGTAATGCCAGTTCCATAAATCCAAAAAGGAAGGGAGGAAGGGAGGGAGGGAGGGAGGGAGGGAGGGAGGGAAGGAAGGAAGGAAGGAAGGAAGGAAGGAAGGAAGGAAGGAAGGAAGGAAGGAAGGAAGGAAGGAAGGAAGACCATGTGAAGCCAGGATGGGCCTGGCAGGGTAGTCAGCTGCTATCCCACTTCTCACCTGCAGAGGGCAGCAGCCCCGGACGCTGCCAGAAGCCACTTCTCCAGGCTAAACTGGCTATGGGGCAAGTTTGACCCCTCCCCTCGACCACCCCTGACCTGAAAGTCACTGCAATCGCACCACCATTAATCTTTTAATTATTCCTTCCCTTCCTCCTCTTTACCCCTGCTGTCGTGGCTAATAAAGCAGTGGCCTGCTTTCTGTTACAGAAATTCTCAACAATTCCCTGCTCATCCAATTTCCCTGGCCCAGAGATGCTCTCCTGCTGCCTATTCTGTATTCCAGTAGCCTTTCTTTCATCCTTCAAAGCGCCTGTCAGCCAGCCGAGGCTGCACCCAGAGGACATGGTGTGGGGAGCAGAATCTGTAGGGGTTAGGATCGGAGCACTGGCGTGGTGCCATCTCCTCCCTCGGCCTGGTCTCTTTTAGAGGATACTGAAGCCCACGGGGTTCAGGTGATTTTCCCCAAAGCCCGTCACTCCCAGGCTCCCTGCACTGAGTCTCCAACAAAGAAGAAAGATTACCCTTCAAACGGACCCTCTAGTCTTTTTCTGTTTTTTAAAATATACCCAGATTCACCAAAGAGGTAGAGACCTCGTCCACAGACTTGAAAAAAACAGGGGGAGATTCCATAACCTTCCTTGGTATATCCCCTCTGGTAACTAATTCACGCTCTACAGTCTCAAGTACGTGAGCTCAGGCGCTCCGTCAACAATGAGGGATGTATGAGTACCTCTTTGCTTGTCACAATAATGGGGGGGGTGACACACAAATTTACTGGAATTCCAGGGACAATGGAGAACCGTGCCACCTCAAATGACAAGTGTCCTCACTGAGAACATGGCCACCCATCCTCTGCAGCTGGCTGACTCTGCAGGAGGAGCTAACGCTGCCAGGCCACCTTCCCGGCAGTCCTGCACGACACCGTGATGCCATCGGGCCACTCACAAGGGCCACTTTATATCCAAACGTGGATGGGGCAATCCACAGGGCCACTAAGACTGGTCAAGTACAAGGGGCTCCCAGTGACAACGTGGAGAGAGACCCACGTCTGGGGTGCGGGCAGGTTCTGCTCTGAACAGACACAGCCCGGGCTCTGGGGAGGCAGAGGAGGGCAAGGGACACGGTGGGCGGGTGGGTGGGGGACTTCTCGTCCTTTGTTTTCGTTCTCTCTCCTCCAGGCCCTGGTTGCCCGGCAGCAGATTTCCCCCTCCCTCCCTACAACAATCCAGTTGCACCTGACATCCCTGAACAACAACAACCAGAAAAAGAGCCGTTTGTGAATAAGAAGCCCGAGACTGTAAGGAAGATGACAGGGGAAATGATTTTCCTTCCAGCAGGCTCTAAGTCCCTTCAACAACTCCCAAAGTCCCTCTTCCTCACTCTGCATGCTAGAAGTGTGACTTCATGCGCGCGTTCAGAAGCCATCTGGGAACCTCCTTGAGGGTAACAGACCCCCCCGGCATCTTGGTCAACCACAGAAGTGAGAGACCAGGGAAGGGGACAGTTAGAACAAAGCTTCAGATGGAAATCGTCTGTGGAATGGCATTGTCACTCGTGACACCCATAGCCAGACATCAGGGGACGGACACCGGGAGGACAGTGAGCTTCAGGCGCTTGCCCGGGACACGGTTGGTCAACAACGCGATGCTATGGGGGGGGTGACTGGGTCTTTGGGGGTCTTCAGAGGGACCCTGGTTCAGTCTCCTGTGAAAAGCGGCATGCTCCTCCCCCCCTTCCCTGGTCCCCAACTCACCATGTAATCTCCTCCTCCACACATACTCCCCTGCACTTACACCTCAAACCCCTCAACCAGAGCTGACTGGAGGCCAGTACTATACTTTTGAACTCTCAAAGTCATTAAGTGACCTTGTTTTACTTTATAAGGTGCACAGGGATGGGTACTCAGTCATAGCAACGGGGGCGGGGGCCGGAAGACTATCCTAGGGTTCCAAGTTAGAAGTCAGCAGACGTGGGGCGCTCTGCCTCCAAGCTGGGATTAAAGGTGTGCACCACCACACCCAGCAGATTCTGTTTGTTTTGCTTTGTTTTTTGTTGGCTTTTCTCTGGGGTGACGCCCTGGGCCTCGCTTCCCAGGCAGCCACTTGTTTCTGCTCGAAGGCAGAGGCAGGTGGATGGATCTCAGTGAGTTAAAGACTGGGGCCCACTGCTCTACACCAGTGAGTTCCAGGACAGCCAGAGCCAGACCCTGTCTCAAAAGAAGGCAAACAACAAACAAAATGTCCTTCCTGCAAGTCTCCTTGGTCCTCTGGCACCCCAGCAGGCACAGCCAAGCCCAAGAAGACCGACAAAGAAGAGGAGGAACCTGCCATCCGGATGCCTGTCTCAAGGGCCTGTGTTCACCAGGCCCACACGAGCATTTGCGTTCACCAGACCCACGGCACCATGCTTTCAGAAAAGCCCGCGCGTGAGTGGCACTGAGAGTCTGTGCCTGACCAACAGAAACATCGCTACATGTCCCTGGCACTTGCAGGTTAACAAGGTTAAAAATGGGCACTTCATATGACTAAGAGAGAACAGAGGTCAGGGTGGGAGGATTTGTCCTTCAGATTTTTCTGGAAGACAATAAGAGGAACGAACAAAAACAAAACAAAACAAAAACAAAAACCAACAAGTGCATGTCACTACATACTGTTCATCGCACAAAATTCAGAAACTTTAAAGAAACGTCTCGAACACAGCATCTCACCTGGTAATTATGGACGTCGGGATTTGTTTTAGAGCTAAAAGGAAGAAGAGAAAACATCATTTTACCAGTTGTTAGGAGGCATGATGGTGGACCGATTTTAACAGCCATAACCAATCCTACAAACTCCCTGCTCCATTAGGAGTGGCTGCGCATTGGTTGCTAGGGCTTCCATGAACGTATATACCCATATATATAATCGGGGAAACCACAAGCCCCAGCTTTCCCCTCGCCAGTTAAGTGAAGCTGTGACATGGTTGGGTTGCCTTTCAGGAGTGCAAACAAGCACCTTGGGTTCCCATTGCCACACGCCGTGCCCTCCCCGGCATTGTCCCGTAGGCTATACATCTCTAGTGATGGCACAGAGCTTCTTGCTGCTGGAGGGAGAGGTAGCAGCTTCTTCGAGACACCTACCGCGGTGCCCGTGGTAGGAATCGCACGAGTCCCCGGCACATGATGACACTCACTGCTGCTGATCTGGACATGGCGGTGAGTGTTCATTCAAGTCAAGCCTCTGCCCTGCTACTAACCTACACAGCAGGGTGACAAAGCCCGTGATGTTTCCTACCACCTGAATCCACCTCAATTCACAGGCAAAGGAACGGTTGCTTCAGACAGAGTTAGGAGTCTTAAGACTCACTGGCCAGTCAATGGCTGAGCCAGGGTTGACTCAACATCTGCTCAGACCCCAAACCTATTTTCTTTCCACCAAATCTAGCTGGCTCTCAGAGGGTCTCTGTGGAAAAGTTCAGAGCTCAAGTGCCATCTAATTGGATTAGAATCTTAGTGAGAGCTAGCTTGGCAAATGTATACACACATACGCACACATAAATATGTGTGGAACATACGTATGTATGTACATATATATATAATGTATGTACATATGTATGCACATACACACATGCATACAGAGAGGGGGGAAGAGGGAGGGAGGGAGGGAGGGAGGGAGAGAGAGAGAGAGAGAGAGAGAGAGAGAGAGAGAGAGAGAGAGAGAGAGGACAGAGAGAAAACGTTTGCTGTATAAGACGCAAGCTCAGTGCCTGCCAGAAACCTCACAACCCCAGAACAATCACTGGGCAGTCACTGTTGCTAGGGTGCCTGGAATCAAGGTTTATTGCCACTCTAACAAGGGGAGGGGGGCATCTTTGTTCTGAGTCTTACACTGGGGTTGCATTTAGTCAGAGAGGACTGGTTGTGAAACCAGGCTCTGAGCCAGACCACTTAGGCTGAATCTCAGCAGGTGGGTAAAGTGTTCCACAAGGTGCTGGTTTTTCCAGAAGTACCTCTGCGGTACCCAGCTAAACTCCATCCATGGTCTCTCACCCTGGATCCCACGGGCTGGGAAGAGCAATTGAACAGCTGCGAACAGCGGTTATTAGCTCATTTTGTTCCTAAAAGGTATATTTACTGACACTTTTTTTTTGGTGTGTGTGTGTATGGCGATTTTTTTTTAATGTTTGTTTTCATTCCCGATATATAATCTCCCCTACACTCTAAGAGGGAAATGCCACTTTATCAGGGAAATACAAACAAACAAAACAATCATCTCCCAAGAAAGCAAGGAATACTGTAGCTTACCACCCCCCAAGCTGAAAAGACCTCCAGTTTTCAGCCCCACTACCTGCTGAGACCCTGACTGCCAGAGACCCCCCCCCAAGACAGAGTGCACACCTGCAGACCTACAACTACCCAACCCGGGAACACTGTGCATACCCCGTACTCCCCGACCACAGGAGGCAATGGGTAGCAGTTCAAGAGGGTCCTCCCTCCCTTCCCTAGACGCAGAAGGCAGATAGCATGACCAGACCAGCATGTCCTTGCAAACACACCCTGGAACCTGGGGCTATGCTGAATCTGCTCTCCAGAACCCAAGCTTTCTTGAAAGGATCTCAGTGCTTCCTGAAGTGGGGAGGAAGCCAGAAAACAGGTGGGCCTTGGCCCTTCCCTATCCGCAAGTAGCTCTCTGGTTTCTGCCTGTTTTGTCTGCTTTTAAGTCAGGCTTCTTGGGGATGGAAGGAGAACGTGTAAAAAAAGAATCACAAGCTATCTGGGGAGAACACTGAGACCTAGTCCAAGCTCCTTGCCTGTAAACGAGAGAGACAGAGAGAGAGAGAGAGAGAGAGAGAGAGAGAGAGAGAGAGAGAGAGAGAGAGAGAGAGAGAGAGAGAGAGAGAGAGAGAGAGAGAGAGAGAGAGAGAGAGAGAGAGAGAGAGAGAGAGAGAGAAGGAAGCATAGGAAAGTAGAAAGCAGAAGGTAAAGTCTGCAGGAGGCATTTGAAAAAAAGCTGTTACGGAGAGGGCTCCTGAGGCTGGAGCTTGGATGCCAGCCGGGGCATCTGATCTCACAAAGCGCGGCGGCCCATCTGTATCCATCTCAATGGCCGCCACCGCCTTTGCCCCATCAGCCTTGAGGCCTCAGCCTGCAGTTTAGAACCAACGGCCTATCTAAACTCCCACGACAGTGGATCCTAGCGCGCCATGCTTGCTGAGGAAGAGCGGTGGCTTCAGATCCAAGAGGGAGAAGGTCAGAGAGCAGGCAGGGCAGTGATCTCACCCGGAGGCCACGCTAACCTGACCAGGGAGGCTTTGAAGAACGAACCCCCAAGTCCCTACACGTGTACAAGTAATCATGTGGCCCGGGGCTGTCCTGCCCAAAGGGGATGACGTCTCCACAGCTCATCAGGTAGTTCCAGACACAGGCAGGGTCAAGCTAGGGAAGAGGCAGCTAGCTCGCCCCATGGGCCGACCGCGGCCGAACGGTACTTCACGGATAAAGTTTTATTAAACCGCGGCCACGCTCATTCCCTTGCATATTGTCCACAGCTGCTTCAGGGCTGCTATGGGCAGCGCCGGCTAGCTCTGAAGGAGATGTCACAGCCCAGAACTCAAAATATTTCCTGTGTGTCCCCTGACGAGACGCTTGCAAAGCCCCCCACAGGAGATTCTCGGTCTGGTGGTACACATTACTTTCCTGCGGGAACTCCCGGGGCGGCTTATTCATCTGCTTGCTTTCGTTACCGTTGTACGTCTGTGTGCGCGGTGCGTGGGCATGGCATGGTGCGTGTGTGCGGGTCGGGTCAGGGGACAGCGCTGCGGAGTGGGTTCTCTCTTTCCACCTTTCCACGGGCTCGCACGCGGATTTCCAGGCATGCGCAGCAGGCACCTTTGCCCACTGGGCCACCTCTCCACCTTCCAGAGCCCCGTTTAACGCCTCCCAGCACCCGTGTCTGTCACTGGACCAGAGCAGCACCTGTAGCTGCTGCTGCGGAGCCTTTCCGCTCAGCAGCAGCGGGGGCCCTCGGTCCCCTCCCTGGCCCGCTGCACCTGCCTGCTTGCACGTGTGCGGCCGCCACCTCGCCATTGCGACAACAAACAGAGCAACTATGCCACTCAAACAGAATAGCTGTCTTGCAACAAGAAAGTCCTGGAACATTCTGTCATATGCTTTTTTTTTTTTTTTTGAAAGCTGGGAGGATGGTACAGGCAGGCAGCAGAAAAAGGGGGGAGGAAAAAAAAGTTATCGACGCCAGTCACTCGGATTCAATTGTATTAAGGAGAAATCAACACGGCAAGCACACGTGTAATTAGAGGGGAGAGCTGTGCTGAGGAGTCGGGGGCGGGGGAGGGGTGAGTGGTACTTACCAGAGCTGAGCAGCAATCACCGGGTTGCTTGCTGTAAGGAAAGGGAGGGAAAGTTATGCAGAACTTTAAAACATTCACTGCACGACGACAGACCGAGAGTGAGTGGACAGAGCTCTCTGTCAGACCACGGTCCTCACCGCAAACCAGGCAGCCTGAACTCTACCTACCACCGAGGATTTGAGCAGCCCCTCCCTAAGTTCTCTAGGCAACTCTAGAGCAGGCTCCCAGGGCTGGGTGTGCCCGTGTGCCGACAAAGCACCAGGAGACAACCGCAGGACGGTGCTTGCTCCTGGGGAGCTGGTGGCGATGGGTGGGGACGGGAAAAGCAATATAACATGATGGAGGATGAAATGCCAGCAGGCATCTCTGAAAGAACTTGGGGCAGGTACTTTTGACGGGCAGAGGCAGAGCCTGAATAAGAGGCTTGCCCTCATTCAACCATACTTCCTTCCTTTATGTGTGATGCTGGGAATTGGAACCCACAGCCTTGCTACCCCTGAGATAATGTATTCCCCAACTTGCCCCCCTCCCCCTACTGTTCTTTTGAGTGGGGGGGGGCAGGGTGTTATATTGCTCCGGCCGGCCTCAAATTCAATGCGGCTGAGGACCACACTGAACCTCTGACCTTCCGGCCTCTACCTCCCCTGTGCTGAGATTATTGGTTTATAGAACTGAGAGATCAAATCCGGGGTGTTTCAATGGAGCTAGGCAGGCACTCTCCCAACCAGGCAATACCCAGGGACCCTTACTTCCTCTCAAGAAGGGCACAACATGGGAAATCGCTCAGAGCTTCACAAAGATCCTAGAGGCCCCTAGCTGGAAAGCACGTCAGTAAAATAAATGGAGAAAAGGGTCCTCAGAGGCAGAGGTCTGAAGCAGCAGGGTCTGGCCAAGTGCTCCACTTCTAGGTCAGCTACAAGGGACTGATGGGCATTTCCTCTCTTCGTGCTAGCGTGCCCTTTGTGGGGGGCTGCGCGCTTACAACTGCATCAAAACAGCGCTTTGTCTTTAGAAAGCTGCTCCCCAGACTGGTCTGCTTTGGACACCTGTGACTCAATGGACAACATACACCCCACCCACCCCGTCACACCCAAGCATGGCTCAGTTAGTGGGGACAATGGTCCTGCATGAGTCTCTTGAACACGTCCCTGGCCTTTCTTTATGTTTGTGGCTTTTCCTTTGCTGTTTATTCATTAACACTTCTCACTTATTTCATACCCCATCCGTAGCTCTCCCTCCCCCGCCTCCTCCCATCCCCCCTGTTTGTACTTTTTGTTTGTTTGTTTGTCGGTCTGGTTTTTTTAGAGACAGGGTTTTCTCTGCATAGCAGCCCCGGCTGTCCTGGAACTCGTTCTTGTAGACTGAACTCACAGAGATCCGCCTGCCTCTGCCTCCCGAGGGCTGGGGTTAAAGGTGTGTGCGCCACCACAGCCTGGCTCCCTGGTCTTTATTAAAAGTTAAGGCTGTATTTTGGGGGCTCTTGATTTTTTTTTCTTTCTCCACTAAAGCAGCTGAAAACCTGCTGACTGTGCTGTTGACTCGCAACACAGGAAACCGGCAGAGGGAGGCAAAGCTTGGAGGTTCTAGAAGGCAAGGGCACGTGAGTGGAGTTCCACAGAGGCCCCGTTAAGCCCCAGGCGGCGGTGCAAGGAAAAAGTACAGAACAGTCCTAACAGGCTTAGGAAGGTGGCAGTGCTGGGTGCCACGGCCGCCCTGCTGTTAAAAAAAAAAAAAGGGACAAACGATTTAGTGCTAACTGGAGTGTGCTGGCTAGAGGACCAACCGGTGCAGAGAAATTAGCTACATGGAGCTTCTGAAACCTAACTGAAACAGAATTGAGCCCGGGGGCGGGGCGGGGTGGGTGGGGGGAGGGGCGGGGCTGGGGGCGGGGCGGGGCCTCATGCTCTGCCTGGCACATAGTGGTCTCAGGCCTCACGCGGATGGGAGTCAGTAAGAAACACGAGGTTCTGGGGAAATTCTGAGCAGGAGGGTAGCAGCACAGCAGGGTGCAGCTGTATTCAGGGGTGGCCGTGTCTGGACTGACCACGGGGGGGGGCGGGGGCACCTGAACTATGTGCCCGCAGGTTCTGCACCCACTCTTCCGTGGTCACAATTCTGGTGAGCCTGTGCCTGATGTCCCCACCAGGGAGGGCAAGGGAGCGGAGGCAATGGATGCAGGACCTTCTACGGGCACACGTGACACAGTCGGGGGTCCAAGCCTAAAAGGAGTGGAGAGGCACATTCGAAGGAAGACGGACAAGAGAGGCAGGCAGAGGAGCACACTGAGTGGGAGAAAGGTTAAGACTGGAGGGCATGAGTTCCATTCTTTCCCAACAGCTTTCAAACGCCAGAGGGCGATGGCGGTAAAAGCGCCTCCCCAGCTAAGCCACCCACCAAAGCCCTCCTGAAAAATGGCAGCAAGGAAGGAACACCGAGTAAACCTTTGAAGGTGGAATGTCGCCGGGATGGGTAGCGTTTGCTCGGCTTCCTCTCGAAGGTGCTGGTCCTTCGCAATCTGGAGCCGTGTGTAGCTTGGTACTCTGTTCGCCCGCTGGGAAGGAAATATTTGGTTGCACATTAACGTCAGTAACAGCCCTCAGCATACCACAGCTATTGCAAGTGAATACTTTTATTTTCCAAGAGCTCCAGTGTGCATTTCAACTTAGCCTGAACTCTCGTGGTTTAAAGCTTGCATTTGGAAATGCAATCTCCTTCGTCAAGCCAGGCACAGGGGCAAGCATCTCTTTCTGCCAAAGGATAAAACCTGCCAAGTACCAACCACTTGGTTGTTCAAACCAAGGAGGCCTGAGTACTTGGATCAACTTAAAGAAGAAAACACTGATTAGATACAATAACCTTTCACGGAGCAACATAGAGATATTTAGCATTTCACATCTTCTCCGAGGCTGTTGTAGTGGGCCCCTACACTGAACCTTGGTTTCCCGTGCTACGTACCACAGTAACTGTTCCTGACTTCATAAGGGCTTTCCAGACTCGACCACTGTGAGGCCAGCTGCAGCTTCCAGGAGGGGAGCTGTGTTTTGCTGACCCACCCACCGCTGCTCCAGTGTCCGTTTTTGCTCTTGGCCGGTTTTTCAGATGAAAGGAGCCAAATGCTACCTGCTCCAGATGCCTCCTCCCAGGGGTGACCTCACCTCCAAACTCCCCCTCCTTCTTCATTTCTCCTTGAGGAACAAGGGTCACCAGGTCTGAGCCAATCCTTGGAGCATCCTCCCAGCAGAGGAAAGGCCTACTTATTTTGGCAATCTCCTCAACTGACCGCCCCGCCCAACTCCAAACCCACGCGGATGTGGGTCGACCGCAGCCTCTGTGAACCTCTGCCATGCTGACACGCCCATCCTTCAAGGGCCTGGTGATCTTTTTCCTCAAGGATTTGGTCCTCTTTCCCACTTCCTTAGAGCATTCAAAAATTACCTTCAGACAAAAACTACTTTTTAAACAGAAGTGCTTGCGGTGCATAAATCTGAAGTGAGCGACACGGCTGGCATTTTAAACAGAGTTCAGCGACATGCCACGTGTGGGCAGAGGTTACGAAACCAAGTGAAGTTCTCTACCGTGTACCCGAGATTCTCAGACTCAGGAGTGTATTTAAAACATGCGTTCCAGGCTGGAGAGATGGCTCTGTGTGGGCTGCTTTTCCAGGGGACCCAGGTTCAATTTCCAGCACCCACAGAGCAGCTCACAACCGTCTGTCACTCTGGTCTTAGGACATCTGACACCTTCTCTGGCCTCTTCAGACACCAGGCACTCACACGGTGCACAAGCATACATGTAGACAAAACATCCATACACCATAAATACATAAAATTGAAAAATGAAATTCACATTCCAAGGGCTGACACCCAGATGCGCACATCCGCAGACTGATTAGGAAGCTGCGTATTTTCATTTTTGTAGATGCCCCAGGAGTTTTCACGCCCTGGTCTTAAACTCAAAAGTGAAGACATGTGAGAATAAGCTATTTATTCAGGCTCTCTTCAGATTCAAATACAGACACACAGACAGATGGCAGACACACACACACACACACACACACACACACACACACACACGCTACGCTCATCCTTAATCATCACCCAGTCTCTTGCCACTGTCATGTAAAAGGAAACATTGCAATGGTGAGAAGTTTAAGAACCAGGGCCGGGAAGATGTTTAGGCAGTGAAGTCCCTGACACAGCATGAAGATCCGAGTTTAGATTCCCAGCACCGTGTCAACAGCAGGGGTGGGGGGGTGGGGGTAGGGGGGTGGGGGTGGGGGTTGTTCTGCAATCTGTAACCCTAGCACTGGGGGGTAGGGGTGGGGGTGGAGACAAGTGGAGGTCAGCGGCCTAGCTCAGTGGGTGAGCTCCAGGTTCACCAGGGAGACTCAGAGTCTCAAAAAAAAAAAAAACCGAGATGGAGAGCCTTTGAGGAAGACACGTGTCACTCTCAGGGCCTCTGTGAGATCACGCATGTGCACAAGCATGTGTGCCCACTGGAAGACATGCAAACAGCACCGCACATACACGTATACAGGAACAAACAGACGCAAGCCCCGAGGCCAGGTGTGTGGGACACACTCCTAACCCACCCGGCAGGCAGAGAGCTCGAGCCTAGTGTAGTCTGTACACCAGGGGCCGCTCCATCTGCCTTGTCAAGGCTGCCTCCAGGATTAAGATTGGGTCGTGGGCTCCAGCGCAGCACCGTCCAACAGAACCTCCTACAGTGAGGTGTCCGCCCTACTCACGGGCAGTTACCACCGTGTGGTCACCGATCACTGGAAATGAGGCCGTTGACACCAAGGATCGATCGGTTTTCAACTATAGTTGCTAGTGGCCACTGCACCGGACAGCACCATTCTAGCTATAGGTATAGTCCTGGCAATTTTGTTACTACATGTTGAGCACACTTCACCTCCAAATGCAAAAGGGGGGGGGGGGTGCTCCCAAGCTCAAATATTTGTAGTATCAAGTATCAAAACACACAAACAGTTCCAAACAGAGAAAAAAAGCCAACATCTCAAACAACCGTCGCCCCCCCCCCGCCCACGCCCCACGCGCCAAGCATTTCACCCCAAACCAGTTCCATTGTATCAGCCGGAAAGAGGTTATGACTGGATTTAAACCCGCAGGCCTTAAGAAGGAAATGGGGGGGGGGGTGTCAAACAACCCAACGGAATGACACAAACCCGCTGCTACAGTCGCACACAGGAAAAAGAAAAAAGGAGTCGCCATTCCCTGAAACGCACAGCCGGCGCCATAAAGCAGTTGCCAACCTGAACCGGAATCGGGAACCTAGCCGGATGAAGTCCGATCGCGCGGACTTGCTGTTGCTGGGTGCGCGCAGTCGGAAGAAGGCGTGGTGCTCCACGGCGCACTTCCACAGGTGTTTGCAGGTGCGCGCACTGTCCAGCCTGAACACGAAGGTGTGCTCCTGCTCGCGCCCCTGAGAGAGAAAGAAGCAAAAGGTCCTTGTGGGGGCGCACGCCACGGGGACGTGGGCGCGTATGCCAGGGGGACGCGGGCAGGAGGCGACAAGGGGCGGGGCGGGGGGGGGGCGCTGGGGAGCAAGGCATACCTGGTCATCATCCTCCACTACTATGAGGGTCAGCTTGCTCTTTTTAAAGTCCATTTTGGTGATCTTAGGCCTGGTCAGAGAGAGAGAGTTTTAAAAGGGGGCAGACGTCTACAGACGAACCGCCTGTCTGCACATCAAGACAGTTTCCTTTCTACTTATCAGAGTTTAGATTGGTTAAGAAAAGAAAAGAAAAGAAAAAAAATCATCACTCATTCATTTAAGTATGATCATCTATAGGCTCAGCGCACCGGCCACACACCCACAGTGACAACAGGATGGTGTGATTTTTTTTTTTAAAGCGAATCTGGGTGTTGCAAATACCCCTCCAGAAAAATCATCCATCACATAGACTTTCCAACACAAAATAGGAAAAGACATTTTTAATATTAGACAAAACTAAATTACCAAAAGAATAAGCCTATTTTGTTAGCTCCTTCAAAGATTAATATGCCTGTCGGGGTCAGTCCAAGAGAATATTCACAGCCATCTCTTCCCTACAAACAAACGAAGTGACAGTCGGTAGAGGGTTCTAACAGGGTCGTCACAGAGAAGAACGCAAACAATTTCCTCACCAAAGTTTACTTTGTTGGCACACTATTTGCATTTTCTTTTTTTTTTCTCATTTCAGAAACAGCAAGACAAAACCACGCAAACACACAGGGTCCTTACCCTGACGACATGCATGTCCACCCCATACATTTCCAGCCACTTCGCTTTGTTGAGATAGGAGAGTTCCGCCTGGGCAGGGCTCTTTCCCCTTAGGGGAAACAGAAACAAGCAATGGAGACACACGTGAACTGGGCACCACCCCCACACCCGCAGGGTCTGAAGAGCCCACTGTGCTCCGGAAAAGTCACACAACTGTTACAAGCAACGGAGGGCGCAAGTGTATATTTAAGGATGGGAGGCAATCTCCAAGCCCCCCCCCCCATGTTAACCCGAATAGGAAGACCACAGGATGGCGCTTCTTAGGATAACCGAAGAAAACAAGGGCGTATGCCAGGCGGTGCCAGGCAGCGGTGGGGTGCACACCTTCAGTCCTACCACTGAGGAGGCAGGGGCAGGCAGATCTCTAAAGTTCGAGGCCAGCCTGGTCTACAAGAGTGAGTTTTGGGGTATTCGGGGCTACCCAGAAAAGCCCTGTCTCAAAAAACCAAAAGAAGAAAAAGGAAAAAAAAAAGAGTGTGGTCTAAGGCAAAGGGAAAAACTGTTCTTCCTGGCCTCCCTCTGGGAGAAAGGAGGCTGCGTGTGGGAGAGTGGGCGGTCTCTGCACATCTGCACATTTCCCTATCATCTGATGAAAAAATCCATGCCACCTTTAATTTTAAAAGTCACCAAAGGCCGGAGGGACAATAGAAGGCCAGACAAAGTCAGGTCCAAGAGTAACTAACTAGGAATGTGTGTGTGTGTGTGTGTGTGTGTGTGTGTGTGTGTGTGTGTGTGTGTGTGCGCGCATCACTGGCAAACTGCCTTATTGGCCCAGGCATAACAAAAACAAGTACGTTAGCACGTTAGCTTAGGGAGGTAGCAGCAGGGAAACATGGAAGACATAAACACCATGCTGGCCCTCAGTGTAATCAGCACGCTCTCAGACATATAATGAAACTTGTATGTCACATGGTCTCATCATCTCACCATAGGGGCGACAAGCCAAGTATGCCTGCCTGACCCAGAATGTGTGAGACCAGAAGCATCGGTGGCCCTTTTTTTTTCAGATGTTCAAACACTAGCGTGAAAACAATGAGATACTCTGAAGGGTGAGACCCGACTCTGAACATCAAAGTGATGCATGTCATATTCATGTGACTCATAAAACTGGGAGGTCCTGGAGCTGGTTTCAGATGTATTTAAACAATCGTTCCTATGATTAGACTTCAGCCTGCCGGTGCTCAAGTTTCACATTTTGGATTCAGAATTTGGGAGGTAGGGATGCTCCACCTATATTTTCTAAAAACGTTTGCTCTTAGAATAATGGTCCTCAGCCTGCGGGGCAAGGACCCTTTGCGGGGGGGGGGGGGGGTGTCACACAGCAGACATCCTGCATGTCAGATATTTATAAATCGTAACAGTAACAAAATTACAGCTACGATGCAGCAACTAAATAATTTTATGGCTGGGGGGAGTCACCACAACGTGAGGAAGTAACTGTATTAAAGGGTCACAAAGGTTGAGAACCACTGCCCAGGACGGACAGGATCTTGGGAGCGTGGTATTTTATCCACACCTGGGGTATCACTAGTCGGAAACAATCAAACCAGACAGAAGCTACGTGTTCCGGAGACAGAAAACCGCGTGGCTTGACCTTTGCACGCTTCTCAGAAGAGAGGTGACATGCGGGCCTTTGGGAAACAGGTGTGCGGCACAGGAGAGAGGTTACAACCCGGTCATTAGCGGGGGCACCTCCCCGTGAGACAAAAGGCACACTGTGTCGCGGAAGACCATGCAACGGTCTTCAGAAGGGTCCGATGAGCACGCAGGACAAGCAGAGAGGCAGCAGAGACCACGAGAGGGGTGCAGCGCCGTACCTGTACTCTTTCCACCTCTGGAAGATATCGAACTCCATGGCTTCTGTCTGATTTGGGATGAACCGAAACTCAGACACGAGCTCCGGCGTGTGCTCTGGGAGCTCGCACTCCCCCAGCTCCGCTGCGCAGTCCACAAAAGGGAGGAAAGCAGAAGACAGAGGACGCTTTGGGTTATTGCTGCAACTGAGTCCAGGGGCGTTCTCTATCGGAAGGTACAGGTGCCCCTGCGGTAAAGCCCTCTCCTTACCAGCTTCCCTCAGAATCCCTGGGAGTCATCCTAACCCCCCTCCCCAATAGAGAAGTATGCCGTCATCTTAGTCATTCCTATCTTTCTCCTCACTGATTCCCCCACCCGGGGAGGCCTGGCTCACATTTCCCTGGGAAGTGGAAATTGGCAATTAAAAAAAAAAAAGGTGATTGCAACCAATGAGGACATCTTGGGCTCTCCTGAAGCACGGGTCAGAGGGGGCACTTTAGAGTCTGCAGGGCTGGGCAGGACGGATCAAGCACTTGGTGTATGGAGAATCTGAGTGAGGGATAAAGGAGCAGGGAGGGCGCCGAGCAGGCTACAGGAGCCGGTGTGGCAAGCCAGGCAGACCAGAGAAGGGGAGAAGGAAGAGGGCTGCTCAAAACAGGGGCAGCGGCAGGAAACTTCCCAGCAAAAAAGTCCAATGTATGCGGCACAGTTCTGGCTCTTGTCAAGCCACAAAACAGAGGACCCAAGGGCACGGTGGGTGGCCCTATGCCTCTGGATGGTGAATGAGAAAATGCACCCGGCCCCTGCAGACTCTAGAACAAAAGGGAGTCCTCCATGTTTCCCCTATAAACCTGGTTACTATAAGTGTGGGCTTCAGGCTAGCGAGTGTAGATGCCACCACGCAGACTTGCTCGCCCATCCAGGGACAGGCCAGTCACTGCCATTTCACACAAGACCCTTGGGGACTGGTGCACTTTCCTTGGAAAGGTCCTGATCCACAACAGTTACTTTTTGAACTTGGAATGCAAAAGCATCGCTTGGTGGGCTCATTAAAGCATCACATCACTGGGCCCCAAGCCCAGATTTATTGATATTGATAAGGACCCAGGCCCAGAATTGAAGGTACCTGTGGGTGACCTTCTACTTCTGATCCTCCTACCCGCACCTTTTGAGTGCAGAACTATGCCTGATTTTACGTGGGGCTGGGTATGAAACTCAGGACATCATACATGCTAGGCAAGCACTCTGCATTCCCAACCCAATCAAATTTGCACTTCCAACAAACTCCCACCCAATCAGATTTGCACTTCTAACAAATTCCCACCCAATCAAATTTGCACTTCTAACAAATTCCCACCCAATCAGATTTGCACTTCTAACAAATTCCCACCTGACTTGACATCTCAGACATCAACACTACCAGTGGGTGGAGTCACACATGCCCAGGGTTCCCTCAGGGACAGGTGCTCTGTACCATCTTATCACCCCAATTAGGCCACACATGGCCAGCATGTGACTTCCGAGGACCAGAGTCTCATGGCCCAACTTTCAGGAGAGGGGCTCTACGTGATTTGTAGAATGGATAAATGTCCTTGTGGCCAAGTCTGGTGTGCCAGTGTGATAAGCTATGGCAGGAGGCTCTCACGATCAAGGTCTGGGTGAGACACAGTGAGACCTAGTCTCAAAACACTCACAACAGTGCTTGTTCACGCAGAGGAGGCAACACAACCCTATTCAAGGAGACTCTGCCTTTACAAGACGATAAAGAGAGGTGACCTGACAAGTACCTCTCCACCTGAATTGCCATCCTTCATACCCTTAGACCAAGATGTGGAGAGGTCTGGGTCAGGACATGCTGCAGCTTTTTACCCCGGGCAAGGGCACACTCAGGAAACTCTGTTCTAGAAACAATGTATAGCCAGAAAGGGAGTGGGCTGGGCTCCCCAGCCAGAGACCACCGCTGACCTCAGTTCTAGAAATCACCGTGGAGTGAGGTCCTGGCAAGACCTAAGCTTTGTATAGACTGGAAAGAGATTCCTGGGCTATCCCAGGGACCCACCAGCAAACGTGACTCAATGGGACCCTGTGTTTAGTGGTATCCTACATTGTCAGGATTAATTATGACAAAGATGCCAATGAGAAAGAGGGCAGTGTCCCTTTCAGCCCCCGACGTCCCGAAGCTGGCCTGTGCAGCACCTGGGACACCAGTGTCTTCCAAGAAGGCGCCGGATGAACTTGGAACTCTGAGAGTCTCCCAATTCCGCAGCCAGGCTCTGGCTCCGTGAAGGTCGCGGAAGAAGGGAGAGAGACTGAACTCCAACCCTGCCGTAGCGATCTGTGTGTCCCTGGGCAAATCACTGAGCTGCTCCAGGTCTGTGATCTCCACCTGACACGTTGGAGTTACTGCCCAGACAAAACTGGAATACTGTCATACAACAGACCATCTCAAAATCCTTAAACCTTTTCACTTGGGTTGGCTTTCAAACATACCACAAAGAGTATTCCCCAAAAGAACACATCCTCCTCCATGGAAGGCCACAGCAGCTCAGGGGGGGGGCACTATCAATGCGAAAACAACAGCAAAATGTGCCTTAAAGGCTCCACCACCAGAGGAAAGTCTGCCCTTCATTCTATTCACACAGAGAAGTGAGTAACCTCAGCGTGGGGCTCCGGAGGGAAACAGGAGACCACGGATAATGGGATGGCAATGTGGTAGGGGCTCCCCCAGGTGTGCCCCTCATCAGTCTTCAAGTATTTATTAGTGCCTGACCTATGACTGTGCCTTAAATTATTCTACAGGTACGGGGTGGCTGGGTTCATCCTTCTCCACGCTGCTCTCCGTCTGTCTCACTACAGCTGGACCAGCGAGGGCAGGGGTATGCCTCCTCCTCCAATCACTCAGGACAACAGGGCAGGCTTGAAACACTGGGCCAATAGCCCCAGGAGGAAGCTTCGGCAGTGATTGATGGCCCCATGCGTGATGCGGGCAGAGGGCACCTGGGTGCTCTCCTTCATTAACACTACCCTGACAGATCCTCCAGGGCTGCCAAGTTGACTAGGCCTCTTGCAGCTCAGGAACCAGTCTAGACGGAAGGCTAACGTCTATGCTGGTAAAAAAAAAATTGCATCTGGCCAAAACAAGGAGCCAGGAGCCTCTGCCGAGTCCTCCAATTCCACCTACACCACAGCACTCACCCAGGAGGCCTGCCGCATCAGACTACACGGGGAGAGGAAGCAGGCGGCCCAGTATTCCCACAGGGTCAGCTCCAGATAGCGCTGCTGTCACCATTATCACCAGTGATTTCAGTCTACACCGAGGGTTCCCCCAAGCCCATCCCTCTGCACCTGCTGAGCGCCTGTAGGGAGGGACTAAGGGCTGGAAGTACTTAGGAGTGGGAATACACCCGTTCCCAACAAAAACGTCTTTATAAACGTGACAACATACAAGGACTAAAAAACATAGTACGTAGGCCTGGAGCGATGCCTCAGAAGACACAGGTGCTTGCCACGAAGCCTGATGAGTCGAATTCGGGGCCCCACGGCCAGCCCACGTGGTGGAAGAAGCGAACCCACCTCTCCAAGTTGCTCCCTGATCTTTTTCGAGAGAGAAACACGCGTGCATGTGCGTGCATGCACCCTAAATTAAAATGCGCTGTGATATAATCTCATGATAATGAAATCCCATTTTCTTAATTGGCGCTGGACAATTAAGCAAGTGCTTCCAGTGCATTTCAAATGAAGACCCACCAGCACCTCCCGCAGATGAACAGCCAAGGCGGACGGCCCTGCAGGCAGGACCTGCTGCCCCCACCCCAGTTCCCACTGGGCACGCTGGTGACTCCAGCACCTCTTGGCTGAGGTCCTAACAGGCCACGCACTCCACGGGAGCCACCTTTTCCACCGCTCACTCATGGAGGCCGCCACCTACCCTCAGCAGCAGCCTGAGTCATTCCCAACTCTTTCCTCACAGCAGGGCTCATTGGGGAACCCAGCCACGGTACTGCCCCGCCCACAGCTGCATTCACTGTGGGCACACCCATCTGCCCCGCCCATGGCCGCATTCACTGTGGGCACACCCACCTGCCCCGCCCACGGCCGCATTCACCGTGGGCACACCTACCTGCCCCGCCCACGGCTGCATTCACTGTGGGCACGCCCACCTGCCCCGCCCATGGCCTCATTCACTGTGGACACACCCACCTGCCCCGCCCACAGCCGCATTCACCGTGGGCACACCCACCTGCCCTGCTCAGTTTCTTACTGTCTTTGTTAAGGTAACAGCCCTCACCCTTCTCCATTCCAGTTCCTTGGTTCCACACAGCTAGCCAGTGTGGCGTTTCCAAAATACCCACCGCGCAGGTCCGCCTCCCTAAGAGGATGCAAAGAAACTGCTCCTGACCCCACCAAGTTCATATTCTCTGAGTGGGGCCAAAGGCTATTCATTCACCAGTCCAGTTTCTTGAGCTTTGCACTGTGTTTACTATCTCTGTGACTTTACTGCCTGCCTGCTTTTTGTTTTTGTCTGAGACAGGGCCTCACGTAGCCCAGGCTGGCCTCAAACGTCTATCTAGCTAAGGATGACCTTGAACTTCTGATTCTCCTATCACCACCACCTTTCAAGTGCTGGGATTACTGGTGCACACTACTGCATTTGGTTTCACGTGGTGCGCAAGACCCAACCACCCCGTATCTGTGTTAGCCCCTTATTATACAAACCCCATGCCGGACTTAAAGTACTAGGCGGTGTGCCGTGTGCATGCCTCGAAAGAGCTGGACCTCCCCTCCCCACGACACTTTCGCCTTGCCTTCCTCTCCACGTTCCCGCTCGGCCCCCTCTCCCAAGCCTCCCGTGTATCTCTGTTGTTAGAAAAACCGCCACATGCTCCATGCGCTTTCCTCGCCAGACCGCAAGCTCTGGGGACCGAGGTCCCCATCATCTTACTTACGGCCTGGCATCCGGGAGACCCTCTCTTACTGAAATGCAAGCCATAACTTGACGACGTGAAAGATGAATGTACCTTGCAGACAGAGAGCAGCTAGTTCCACGGCCGTTTCGTAGGGGCACTTCAGTCTTGGGAGAAGAACGAAGAGGAAAGGAAATGAGCACTGATGAGAAGCGCAACATTTGGAACCATGTAACAAATGTTAGTAACAACACCCTTCAAAAGGCAGCAGGGCCGGGCATTGGTGGCGCACGCCTTTAATCCCAGCACTCGGGAGGCAGAGGCAGGTGGATCTCTGTGAGTTTGAGGCTGGGCTGGACCGACAGCCTCCGAAACGATACAGAGAAACCCTGTCTCGTAAAAACCAAAAAAAAAAAAAAAAAAAAAAAAAAGGCAGCAGGGTCTACGTAAGACTTCTGATGCTAGTGGTTTATACTTTTGGTGTCCGTGCTAAATTAGAGCACAAACTGACTAGCATGCACTCCAAATGTCCCAGGGCAGTTCTCCACATATGACAAGGCTGTCCAAGTACACGTTCTACAGACAGTCTACCATTGATCGCTCCTGCTGAATTTGAAAAGAACTCAGGATGTTTAGCAATCAATGAAAGCCTGCCCTTTCGTCTAGTTATCTTGGGCTTGCTTTCTCTTGAGACAGTCTGCGAGTCTTCTCGAGCTGCCTTCACACTCTCCCTGGAAACAAAGTCAGGACGGGGAAAATAAGCACACTGACACCGTGTATACTGTTCCCAGGGCCACTAGATAGCGCTCAGCACCCTAACAGGTCCAACTGAGGCAGAACCACAGGGCGAGCGCTACCGCAGACCCAGTGATGCCACTCATAACTCAAATTCCGAAGTTAGGAAAACTGTCGTTTTGGACATGGGCACAGCACTTCATAGTTCTTAAGGTCTACTCAAATAATATTATACAGTTAATGTGTAGTTTGTAAACTCTTAGGATGGGTGTGGCCAGTGCCCTCCACCCCATTTCTCATTTTCTAGGATAAGATAGTCAGCATCCCGCTCAAGGCCTTCCAGAGCACAGGGGGCAGTGCTGGGCTCAGAATACTGTTCCGGTTAGATAACAAGTCGGGTGGGAATGGAGATTGACTGCAAGGCACTAGACATATGTGAAGTGCTGTCATCAGTGTTTTCCAAACTGGAGACAAGTTCTACGCTGACAGGGTCTTTAGTATGACGAGCACAGAACCAACAAGAGATTAAGAATGCACACATACTCAGCACACACACCAACCAGATACTGTATGTACTGCATGGCTGAGTAAGGTCAGTGTATACAGTGTACAGTCAACTCATCCTGCTGCCTGCCTGCCACCGCAAGTTTTAAGACTGCATTTTCTATTAACAGTTTGCAAACACGGGAACTGCATCTTATTTATTTACTACATTTAAATTTGTATTAACATAACTGGTTTATATTTGGATTTGTTATTTGGCACAGGCTCTTACTAAGTAGCTCTGGCTGGCCTGGAACTCACTAGGTAGACCAGGCCGGCCTCAAACTCCCTCAGATCCACCAGCCTCTGCCTTCCCAGCTCTGTGATTAGGTATGTGGACCACCACAAATGGCAGAAACAGCCCAATAAATTTCCCTCAGATTATAGCAAATCAGAACATATACTCCCGTTGGACACATCAGGACACTGCTTCTTAATCTTGATATGGCCTCAGCTGTTTTTAATGTAAACACAAAATATTCAATAACTCTTAAAACTAGAAAATGAAAGCCAATTAAAAAATCTTCTGCATATTTATTTATTCACATTGATAAGAGTGTGTGTGGTGTGTGTGTACACCTGTGCACATGTAATCTTCTGCATATTTATTTATTCACATTGATAAGAGTGTGTGTGGTGTGTGTGTACACCTGTGCACATGTAATCTTCTGCATATTTATTTATTCACATTGATAAGAGTGTGTGTGGTGTGTGTGTACACCTGTGCACATGTAATCTTCTGCATATTTATTTATTCACATTGATAAGAGTGTGTGTGGTGTGTGTACACCTGTGCACATGTAATCTTCTGCATATTTATTTATTCACATTGATAAGAGTGTGTGTGTGTGTACACCTGTGCACATGTAATCTTCTGCATATTTATTTATTCACATTGATAAGAGTGTGTGTGGTGTGTGTGTACACCTGTGCACATGTAATCTTCTGCATATTTATTTATTCACATTGATAAGAGTGTGTGTGTGTGTGTACACCTGTGCACATGTAATCTTCTGCATATTTATTTATTCACATTGATAAGAGTGTGTGTGGTGTGTGTGTATACACCTGTGCACATGTAATCTTCTGCATATTTATTTATTCACATTGATAAGAGTGTGTGTGGTGTGTGTGTACACCTGTGCACATGTAATCTTCTGCATATTTATTTATTCACATTGATAAGAGTGTGTGTGGTGTGTGTGTACACCTGTGCACATGTAATCTTCTGCATATTTATTTATTCACATTGATAAGAGTGTGTGTGGTGTGTGTGTACACCTGTGCACATGTAATCTTCTGCATATTTATTTATTCACATTGATAAGAGTGTGTGGTGTGTGTGTACACCTGTGCACATGTAATCTTCTGCATATTTATTTATTCACATCGATAAGAGTGTGTGGTGTGTGTGTGCACCTGTGCACATGTAATCTTCTGCATATTTATTTATTCACATTGGTAAGAGTGTGTGGTGTGTGTGTACACCTGTGCACATGTAATCTTCTGCATATTTATTTATTCACATTGGTAAGAGTGTGTGGTGTGTGTGTGCACCTGTGCACATGTAATCTTCTGCATATTTATTTATTCACATTGGTAAGAGTGTGTGGTGTGTGTGTACACCTGTGCACATGTAATCTTCTGCATATTTATTTATTCACATTGATAAGTGTGGTGTGTGTGTACACCTGTGCACATGTAATCTTCTGCATATTTATTTATTCAAATTGGTAAGAGTGTGTGGTGTGTGTGTACACCTGTGCACATGTGCTCAGATGCTAGGGCAGTTTGCACGTGCCACATTACAGCTTGGGTGTGTCAGCTTCTTTTTCCACTAATGCTCACTCGGAACCAACCGTGTGTTGTCTTGCGATAGCATGACGATGTGCTTTGTTAACCATCATGGTAAGCCCAATGTCTTTTTTTTTTTCTTTCTTTTAAGATTTTATTTATTTATTATGTATACAACACCCTGCTTCCATATATACCCACAGGCCAGGAGAGGGCACCAGATCTCATTACAGATGGTTGTGAGCCACCATGTGGTTGCTGGGAATTGAACTCAGGACCTCCAGAAGAGCAGCCAGTGCTCTTAACCTCTGAGCCCTCTCTCCAGCCCAAGCTCAATGCCTTGAGTTTAAATCCTAAGGTGGGAAAGGTAATGAGAGGAGGAGGAGGGGGAAGCCCACAGCTCTTCCTAGCAGGGTCAGATAAAAGGGGGCTCTGCACATTGCTTCACCACGATGGTGGTAAGTGAGACGTTTCTTGAAACCGCACAAATACTTGTGCACATGTAGGCATGCTGACAGGGTGAGCTGCTTGCAAATACAGCAGAAACCAACATGGATGGGGTGGAGATGTGACAGGGAGAAAGTGGTCCCCAAATACTACACATCACTCAAGAAACTCTCAATGCTCTTGGGAACGCCCCCAAGCCACATAGAAATCGTTTTTTAAAACAGTACCAAAAAAAAAATGACAGCAGCCCAAGTATCTGACTCGCTTGACCTGGCCTGTTGTACTTTTTTTTTTTAATTTGGTAAAGAAGATAAAGGATAAAGGATAAAAAGTGAAAACAGTAAATTACTGAGTTGTACTATGCGCTATGCTGGGTTAAGAGTTAGAACAAAAGCATACTTACTTTCCAGAAAGAATGTCATGCCTGAGTTGTAGAACAAACAGGTACCTGACAAACATATACAAAAGTCAACAGAGGGGAACCCTTGCCTCTCCCAGCCACCTCAGATCCCCAGCCTCCCGTCATCGTCGCAAATCCCCCCTGATGTGGTCCTGGCATTCTGCACTGTCAAAGGGAGTTCAAACAGATAAGGGGGAGAGGAGCCTCCTTCCGAGCCTGAGGAAAGGCATCCCAGGTCTCACTGGACGGGGTGGGGGGGATGGATATATATATGCATGCTTCATGTGGGGAGTTTGCAAGATACTTGTAGGATGGAGCATGGATGCAACACCAAGCGGTCTGATGTGACTTGCATGGTGGCTTTGGTGCAGGAGAAACTAGCCCAGCAGGCACACAGGGCTCACACGCAGACGAGCAATGCATTCAAGAAACCACTGAGCTGGCACCTGGCCAGCTCTACCTAGCAGATTCCAGAACTCTCTCAAAAGTCTGCAGCTGACTGCAGAGACTGCTTGAAACCACTCCAGGCTTTTCTTCCTGGTGCAGTTTAACTCCCTACTCTGTCTTTAAAACAAACAAACCAACCAAACACACACGCAAACCATGCAACACACACACACACACACACACACATAATCCTATAATTACACTACAGATAATTACAGGGATAATAAGAAATAAGAAGCAGCAAAAAACATAAGCAGGGGGCTTACCAAGCTAAAAAAAAATGTCTTAGCTGTAAGTAAAAGTCTTTTCTTTCAAGGAAGATGTGGGCATCAGAACCACTTTGTACCAACCAAAGCCTCCCACACTCTACTTCAGGCTTATGGAGTCAGAATCCCACACTCAAGAGCGGTCCCTAGGGATCCTATTTGTCCAAAAACCTCCCAGTGTTTCTGATTCACACACCTGGCTTAAAAGTGAATAGCTTTGATGACAGCTAGGGACAACACATTTCACAAAGACCCCCAGAGAGAAATACTGAAGTTGCTTAATGAGTTGAACCTTGGAAGCCATGTGGGCAGTCCTTTTCTGTAGAATGGCTACGTACTTTGGAAGGCCCAGAAATCAAAGTGGGAAAGGAGGCTGAAGGCTCTACCTCATTCCAGAAGATTCTGCTTCCCAACAGGTCCCTTAACTACAGCTGAGCTTCCCCTTGTGAAATTTAGGGCACTGACATGTGTATTCGAACCAACAAGAGCACGGTGTCCCTGCGGCCAAAAGTTCTGATTCTCGTAGGGAAACCCAACAGAAAAAAGCCCCTAAGGCCCTTGCCATAGGCACTATGACAGCTTCCTAAATGTCACTCCGGTGGTCCTCGACATGTTGCTGGCCACCAGTGTAGACGACCCATCAGCAGGCAGGTCACTACACTGTGTCACACACAAACCCAGCGACAAGGACACTCTGGTGATGTCTAGAACTAGGTAAAGCGTGCCACGGATCGGGGAGGGGGGAGCCCATCACTCTATGGAGTGAAGAGTCCCTTTCACTGCAGCAATCGGAATGTTCTGCTTCTATGGAGTGAAGGGTCCCTTCTATTGGAACAATCGGAATGTTCTGCTTCTATGGAGTGAAGGGTCCCTTCTATTGGAACAATCGGAATGTTCTGCAACATCCAAAAAAAAAAAAAAAAAAAAGAAAGAAAGAAAGAAAGAAAAAGAAAAAGAAAAAGGAAAAGAAAAAAAATGCTGTTCCTGACTAAAAAGCCTTCTCCCAACATCTCCTTTTGGTTTTTGCAATGGAGGCAAAGACAAAATGCCATAGGCGAACCCGTGATTTTCCCAAAGTCTAAGAAAATCCATCTAATTTGATTCCTACACAAAATATCAAACTAAGCGTATACTGGTAGGTTCTCAACAGAGGAGAGAAGCCTGGAGAAAGTGCTAGTAGCGTCTGCATAGACATACAGAGGACCAAACAGGAAGTGAGTCCCCCATCCCCACCTCCACCCCTCACCCCCCTACTCCCGTCCCACTCCACCATCCCACCCCCGACCTCTGGCTGGGGGGGTGCTACAGGACAGGACTGTCTGTGTGCGACCATCCTACCTTGTAAATTCCTCTCGAAGGTTGTTTGGTTCTGAAGAATAGTATTTGACTCGAAAGTGCAAAGCATAGGCAGGTCCAACTAAACATTCGGAGACAGAAAGGTAGAGCTGTTTGCCTCCCGCCAGACAAAAGGAAACGCATCGCAAGGATTCCGAGTGGGGTTTGAAGAAAACAAAAAACAAAAACAAAAACAAAAATGGAACCAAACTTTTAGGTTGGCCGGGATGGTTTTAGCCGGGAACTTGACTCTGGCACAAATTCCTGAGAGTCTCCAGGTGGCCAAAGAGTGAGCTGACATTTCGCTATCCCCGATGGGGTACCCCAAACCGGCACCCATGTTTCACAAAGCACAAGGTGGGCTGGGAGCAGGTGCCGCATAAGCACCACAGCACTCCGCTGTGCGAAGACACAGCAAAAGCACCCTAGGGCATTTTTAAGGAAATGTAATTTCCAAGCGATCTAAGCGCGAGCAGCCCTAGAGAAATATGGTCACCACACCTGTGAGGGGACAGCGGGCGCCTTGCGGCTTCCCCCTCTCCGTATCTGGATATGCTTTAAATGGCGAACAAAGTGGGTGTCAGGCTTCTGAAGAGTAAGTACATCAGTCCCGCCGGCAGGGGCGTCTCGTGCGACATGAGAGCCCAGGTGGACTCGATCGCTACCCAAAATACCCACCCAATTTTAAAGCTCTACTCTCTGGCCAGTTTAAAGGGAGTCATAACATCCATCTAACGGTGGATCTACTTACAAATCGAAGGATCTCAAAAATCTTGACAAAGGAGTTGACTGATAGGTTTAAAAAAAAAAAAAGAAGAAAAGAAAAGAAGACATGAGTTACTGGAGTTTCCACCTTACCTTTCATCTGTTTCTTTATGGGTTTTGAATGGTCCAGCCAGTGCTGAAAGGAAAAAAAAAATATATGTTTCTTTAGGAACTAAGTATGTGTCCCTAGAGTTCCTCTCTGTTACACACCTAGGCGATTCCACACACACAAAGACCCAAGACTGAGTCAGATCTTGAATACCTCCCTGGAGATCTGCAAACTGCTAGGTGTGGTATTAAGAATTCTTTGCTCACCCTGGCGAGGTGGCTCAGAAGTTAAGAACATTGGCTGTTCTTCCTGAGAACCCAGGTTAGATTTCCCAGCACCCACATGGTGGCTCCCAACCTTCCGTAAATCCAATTCTGGGGGATTCAACACCCTCCTATGCCCTCTGTGGGCACTGTACTCAGATGGTGCATGACATACATATTCAGGCAAAACACCCATACACACAAAATAAAAGCAAACATTTAAAGCACTCGCTATAGGGACAGGAGTTTGCATCCCCAGAACCCATGTAAAAGCCAGGTAGGTGTAGCGGCTGCCTGTACACTTCCAGTTTAGGAAGGCAGAGAGTGGATTCCCAGAGTAAGCTAGCTGATGAGATTAGCAGCAGCAGTGAGCTCTGGGTTTGATTGGGAGACCCTGCCTCAATGAAGGAGGTGGCAAAGTACTATCAACCCCCACACGTGCAAACATGCATACACACATGAACCACATGTAAACAGAAAACAAATAATTTGCTTGTACATGTAAGTGCATTTTTCTTACAGCCAGACTTCCCCTAAGCTTCTAAAAAAGAGCCCAGAAATCTCTAAAACCCCTAAAAAACTCGATCTGCAGAGTCCCTTTAAAATTCTGGCTTGCTGAGGTTACTCACGATATAATACTGCTGGTCTCCCCGGTGACTCTGGGCCTCCACTAGTCTAGCAGGAGTGCAAACACCCATGCTAAGACGACACCCCAGCCTTGTGGTTCTGACTCCCTCAACTCTGAAATCAGGAAAAGGGTGCTCCTGAACCCGACACATTTTTACACTCCTGCCCTCCACCACTGATAAAAAGAGAGGCAGATGGTGCAGCCACGGCCAGGGAGGGCATTTTAACTGCTCCTCACATTGACCATAAAGCCTACCTCAGTTTTATCTGCCTAAGGAGGGTTACAAAGCCATTCCCCTCATATAAAGCATTTACATCAAAATTGTTGCCATATGCTCCTTGGCGTAACTTCTACAGAAGTGTAACATCCTGATAAATCCATCCTAAAGAGAAAACCCTGTGAGTTACAAAACACATTTTATCCCTCTGGCCTGTGTATCCTGCTTGGCTACACAGCGGACCGTGGAGTGTTATTCCATTTATGCCTGGGATCTCAAGACAGAACAGCACTAACAGTCAACTACCAGGAAAGGCCAGATATCAAGACCTGAGTCGTCTCTACTGACTGCTTATCCTTCTCATACCATCATAAAGCCAAATTACGGTGAATCGGGGGGGGCTGTCTGTACCCTGGGCCGTGTGGCTGATGGCTCCTGGGCTTCCTGCGGGAGGTTCCAGGTGTGGCACCCAGCATGTCCTTGTTGGACTGGGTTAATACTAAGCACGACTTTGAAAAGGACTTTTATTTCATAAGGCATGGCTGCTCTGCATCCGAGTTGCACAAGGGGGCTAGGAGAGGGCGTTGGGTCCCCCCAGAACCTAGGTGACCCATGGCTGTGAGCTGCCTGTCATGTGGGTGGGGTGGGGGACTTGAAATCCTCTGGGATGTCAGTCGGTGCTCTTAACTGCTAAAGCCAGCTTCCCGAAGAGTGTGAGCCGCTAGACACGTTCGCCGTGAAGTAAACACAATGCACACCGGAACTTCGCCGTTATAAAAAGGAACTGGGATGAGGCGGGCCGAGCGGGAGTCTCTCCAGCCATTCTGAACCAGAGGCTGACACAGCCGACTGCCAGGGACTTGCAGAAGCAATCCACACCATGTGCGCGTTATTAACGAGAAAGGGCGGGGCTGAATGAGCACAGAGTACTCCATGCCTAACCACAAAGCTGGAGAGGACTGTGTAGGAGGAGGGGGATGCAGAAACACACAAGAAAAGGACATAACAGATGAATTAGAATACAATAAGCGTGCGGGCAGCGTTAAGGAGAGGAGGATGTCGGCCTTTGTCATCTCCACACCGCCTAGGCTGGGTAATAAAAGCGGATCACCACAGCAGGATGCCTATCTCAAAGGCACATGGCTGGGATGCCACATCTCATTGTTGATGGCTTTGAATTGGCAATGACCTAAATGTCCATCCACAAAAGACGGACTCAAAATGGCTCATCTGTATAATGCAATGCCATTTTCAAAGGATGCAGACTGGTATTTACTGACCTGACAATAGAACCACAGCACAATGTGAAGGCAGAAAAATAAATCAGGTAGGATCCTGTCTATAGAAAACTGTTATTTTCTATCAAGATATGTCCAGAAAGATTTATTGGGCATCTGGAGGGGGTGTGGGCAGAGATAGTAATAATATGCATGTCATTTTCTTTTGCTTTTCTAAACAGCCTTTTATTGTAATGAGATTATTATGGGGGGCGCGTTGATTGTCCATTTTGTATTTATTCAATGTTTGCCTACTAGGTATGCTTGCTTTCCTTTCTGAGACAGGCTGGCCTCAAGCTCCCCATGTAGCCGAGGACGACCATGAACTTCTGACAGCGTGCTGGGAATGCAGACATCTACCACCCCACCACAGCCAGACCGCCAGGCAGGGAGCATCCAACTCAGAGCTTCCTGCATCCTAGGTACGCACACTAACACCCATGCTACATCCTCAGCTCTGTACTAGGCAATTTTGAGACTAGAGATTTTGCAGAGCAAGAATGAGACCTCACTACTGCCCTCAAGCATGCTGAAAATCCCTAATTGCATTCTGGGAAGGACAGGCACAAGGGAAGACAGAAGCATATTTATGCTCCTGCCAAGTACCACGCTAATGTCTATGACTAAACCTGTACTTAAGTGAATTCACCATCCCCAGGCACAGAAGGTTCTCCTGCAGCCCAGCCTTTTAGTCTATGCAGCTCCAGACACTCAGCTTCCCTCTGCTTGCCTCTTTCAGATCTCCTTGCCATCATTCCGAGTAGACGAAGCTCAAAACCACCTTCCCTCTCCCTCCACTGTTAAGAACTCTCACCTCCACCCAGGCCCAATTTGTGTGGTTCCCTTGGTCTGAAGGAAACTGATTGCAACATTACAAGCCTGGAAGAACTAAATTAAAGAAGTTGGTACCCTGGAGTCGCACACTCGCAAAGCACCCATTTCACAGATGCGCCTGGTGTGTCTGTCCAATATTTACTACTCGGTCTTCCACGTACTCCCCCACAGGAAGACGCCGCGTGAGCGCTATAAAACCTCAAGCAATTCCAGGGTTTTTTGGGCTGGTCCAAGAGGTGAAATGGCCAAATGCCCACAGCTGGGGTTAACATAAGGGCATACGGACACCAGACGCTCTTATGGGGGCAGCCAACTCCCCCTGGGGCCACACTGCTAAGGGGGCTCCCTCTATCTATCTATCTATCTATCTATCTATCTATCTATCTATCTATCTATCATCTCTCATCTATCTCTCATCTATCTCTCATCTATCTCTCATCTATCTGTCTGTCTGTCTATCTATCATCTATCTGTCTGTCTGTCTGTCTATCTATCTATCTATCATTATGGGGCTTACTCCTTCCTTGTACCTGAAGCAGGACTTGCCAAGACAGAGGCCACAAATTCTTTGGGGCTTTTGAAGTCAAGAAAGGAATCGAAAATGGCATCACTGTTCTGAAAACCCATGGGGAGGCGGGGGGGCGGTTTCAGAACAGGGGTTGGTGGTTCCATCACAGGCAACAAGAAACCCGTTCATGATCCTGAAACAGAGATGATAAAGTTTATTTCATGTCCGACCAGCTCAAAATGACCCGGCTTTCTTTGCAGCTGCAGAGGCTTACCAGCTGCTCACCATGGGTACTATGTCCCCCCCAAGAACCCCATGCCCTGTGGATACCACAGGGCAATACCAGGGCTCCATTCTGGATGAAGAGGGGTGACCCCCCCCCACCGCGCGCGCATGTAGGTAGAGATGGTGCTGAGCATCATCTGGAATGTGATGGGCTCTTTGGTTGCAGACACTAGTAAGACATGGTACGTGCCTGGTGCATCCTGGTCAGGGAGACAGATAGGTGTTTCCCATGGAGTACAGTGTGGTCAGTCCTCCAGCAGGAGGTGGCTAGGCTCACAGGAGAGAGAGTACCTGAGTATCAGATAAAGCAAGAGGAGGAATGGACACTGATGTCTCAACAGAACAGGAGAGGCGTTTTCCAAGCAGAGGGTGGGCAGGGATTTAGGACAACAGGGCAACAAAAGCCAGACCTGGCATTTATAAATGAAAACCGTATCCCGAGTCAGCTTGAAAGCCGTACCCAGAAGCAAGCAGGTCCTGTCAGGAGTGCTCACCTGTACCTTAAGCTAAATAAAGCAGACCACTCATCAGTGAAGCCCCTGAGCTCCTCCACAGACCATTAAACCAGTCATCGCAGGCAGACTGATGCATCTCTGGGTTCAGATGGCAAGACATTGAACTCAACTCTCTAGCGGGTGCTAGCAAGGTGATTTCTCGTCTGAATCCGTCATGCTAGTCCATCTGGCAAAGCCTTCCCATAAATCGAGATGTGGGATGTGATCCTGGCAGAGCCCATCTGTTCTCCTAGAGCATCAATCCTGGAAATACGGCCGGCATAGGCCGGCTGTAGAATTTAATGGTCCGAGCCCTCGTGTTAAGTACTGAGGCTCAGAGGTTAGTTAAAGGGAGTCTAAAATCCCTGTTCACGGGGGCCTTGCCATGAGGATTGAGTGCTGGGACTCATGGTCTAGTACCCCCCGCCATGAAGGCTGAGCAGGGAGACTCACGGTCTAGTAGCTAGAAATTCCGTTGGCTTATAAGGAGTATCCTTGATATTGCAGCCAGCGGGGATTTCAAGAGGAAATCACATCCGCAGGATGAAGAGAGAAGGCAGGGAAAGCACCCTTGGAACTCACTGTCCAAACCTGATGCGAGGCTGAGGAAGGGGGAATGAAGAGGCTACAGTGGGATTCAAACTCACTGTTGCTGGCGTCCGTGTTCCCAACTCAAGATCCATCATCGCATTCCAAGTTGGTGCTAATGCACCATCTCTGCCTCCACGCGGGAGGCAGGAAGGGCCACCCTCCCGCCAGCCACCCTCCCTCGGGCCACCCTCCCGCCAGCCACCCTCCCTCTTCATCCAGAAAGGAGCCCATCAAACTCACAGGGGTGACCTGAGGTTTTCCTTGCACCTGAGTCTCTCCCCAGCGGCACGCCACTAAGTACCGCTCTCTGCACGTGTGTACTTGCCCCTCGCTGCTGATACTCGGGGACGGGCTACCGGAAGCCTGCCGTGCTTCCTCAGCCCCTATGATGCTTCTCCGTCCCACCACAGAAGGAGGCAAAAGACCAAAGTCTCTTTCCCGACTTGCACCCTTGTGTTATGCGGCCGCCAGTCTCTCCTTTGCTCCTTATCTTTCTCATGTGTGCCGGCCCTCAGCGCATCTGTGGGACCAGCCCGTTTCAACAGGGGGAAGGAGGAGGCTCTCTCTGACTTTCTGCAACAGCAGGGCTCAAACCCAAGGGCCTTGCACATGCGGGGCAAATTCTTTGCCCCTGGGCTACAGCCCCAGCCCTGCTCCAAAGTGTCACGAGACGCAGCCGTGTCGGCACAAGGACATGTAATGACCTTCTGGGACACAGGCAGCAGGAAGCCAGGGGCACCTGCAGCATCTCCAGCAGCCCCCACAACGGTGCATTGACTGCCGCACAGACCTGCCTCTCGCCAGCCAGATCACAAAGCCATTGGGGGTGGGGGGGAACAACACGTGGACTGTCTTGAAGGAAAGGCCAAAATCGTCTTTCCTGGATCTCGTGCTGCAAAACCTACTGCCATTAATAAACCCCTATTCCTGTTGGGAAGGGGCCAGTGAAGGAGACTTCAGGGCCACGCATGTCCTGTGTAACACATGCCCCTTGGATGGGAAGGAAGGCATCTCCTGTGGAGACTGCTGTCCTAAATCCCTGCCCACCCTCTGCTTGGAAAACGCCTCTCCTGTTCTGTTGAGACATCAGTGCCCTTCCCTCCTCTTGCTTTATCTGACACTCAAGCACTCTCTCTCCACTGTGAGCCTAGCCACCTCCTGCTGGAGGACTGACCACACTGTACTCCATGGGAAACACCTATCTGTCTCCCTGACCAGGATGCACCAGGCACGTACCATGTCTTACTAGTGTCTGCAACCAAAGAGCTTGGCCCTGGTATGCCCTAAGTCAAGGTTGGCAAATGTTCTCTTTCCGTTTGTGCATTGTGAGTGCATGCATGCTTGCGTGCGTGCGCGTGTGTGTGTATGTGTGTGTGCTTGTGTGCGTGTGTGTGTATGCATGCACATTTGTATATTTACTGTGTGATGAACAAATGTTTATATAGTCCAGTGGAAAGTACTGGACTTTGGAGTAAAATCCAAATTTTGGATCCTGGTTTTGTCCTTACTCTATTTCTACACCGTTTCCAGTTTCTCTGAGCCTCAGATTCATCCCCCTGTAAACTTTGTGGCCAGCTTCATAGATGGATGGTGAATGCTGAGCACAAGTCATGCAAGCCTTTAGCTTAATGCTAGATCAGAGTGGGAACTCAGTCAACAGCAGCTGCCATGACCAGGTAGCAGAAAGACCAGGAGCACAGGCCAGAGGCCCCGGCTCTCTGTAGAAAGCTTTGTTACATAATCCCACACTGCTACCCTCTGCTCTAAGCTGATCCCAAGTGTGGATCGGCAGAGTGGGTCCCTGGGTGGCCTTCCTATGTGACACGGGAAAGGGAGACAGGAGGTCCCAGCAACTGCTAAAAATAGGTGATGCCAACAGGATTTGACAGTTGCTTCAGGGTTGGGCAGGGTACCATGGAAACCAGGCTTGGCTCTTTTCAAGGAGCTGGGGAGATAAGCTTGGTATACACAGAACTGTGCCCAAAGCCTGGCCACTGCCAGCCCTTGGGTGCTTATGCTGGGGGCTGGGAATATCTGAGGGAGCCTTGAATTGAGGGCAATATGCCCTCTCCAATGAATCACTCCTCCCAGTGCCCCATCTATTGCTCCCTCCCTTCCCTCCCAGAAACACCATGGCATCTGGCCACCGCCCAGACTCCGTGAACATCAGTAATGCCCAGCGGTCATCTCAGAACTCTCTCTAAAGACCTTTGGAAATCACTCAGTGCATTCACCTTGATGGCTTTGTGTCCCCAACCCTACCCATTTGGAGAGAAGAGGCTGCTATGGTCTGTCTGGATAAGGCTTGCTCCCAAGGCTTGGGTGCTGGGGGCTGGTCTGCAGGGTGGTACTGAGGTACTAGAACCTTTAAGGGGAGGCATCTGGTGGGTAGAAATTAGGTTACAGAGTCCCACCTTCACCAGGGTTAAGAGTTCCTGGGGACTGAATCAATTCTGTGTCTTTAAAACCAAAGCAAGACCACCCCGTACCCAGGTCCTCTTCGGCGTACAACCGCTTCCCTTTCTGGTTTCCTGACGTATTGTGGCCTGTCTCAGAAGCCAGCAAAGCAGATACAGGCACCCCTATTGGACTTTCAGTGTTTCAAACTTCATGATAAATAAGCCTGTTTCCTTTGTAAAGTGCCCTGGGTCTACAACATGAAATAGGCCAAGCCAGAGACCCACAGCCATGTTCCAGAAGATGTTTAGACCTTTTCTCCTCCATGACACCTGAGCTCTTGCCCTGTACATATTATTATCACACACACACACACACACACACACACACACGTGCACACGCACACGCTGTGCAGACAGGAACACCAGGGGCTCAAGGGCACAGTGTACCAGCACAGGAACATCATATACATGCAATGCACATCTTCAGTCGGAGCCTGAGTTGTGCGGCTAAGTGATCCACCGAGATTTAAACGCTTCCTACCACATGAAAAGAACAACAATGTCTCTCCTCCCAAGTAAAGAAGAGGACACCGTGGCGTCTCAGGAGGCAGTCAGAAGGGCTTTCCTTCTACGAATAGTGAGCGACTGCATATGCTGTGTGTGCCCCGTGAGGTAACCCAGGGTGGGCGTACCACAGACCGGAAGAGGATGTTCTAGAACTTGCAGGTGCAAGGGGTCATGAACCTCCGCCGATGTGGGGGCTGGGACCCAACCTGGCCCTCTGAAAGAGCAGGAGGTGTTCTGAACTGCGGAGCCACACCCTCAGCCCCCATTTGTTTCTGCCTACGAATGCCAAGCGGAAGGACAGATAATAAGGTTTCAGAGAAGGCAAATAAGCTTTGGAGGTTTACATAGAGGAAAAACACCCAAGAGAGCTAAGGACCTGCTTCAAGAGCCATGAGCTGGTCTGTGGAGATGCTCTAGAGGGACGCCCGGAAGTTTAAGCAGAGGGAGACATATCACCAGGGTGGGTGGGGGGAGGGGGCGGGGGGAGGGGCCCAGTGGAATGGCACAGACGCAGGCTGGAGACCATGGGGGGGGGGCCCTGCAGGCAGCGGCACACGCCTCACACACACACACACACACACACACCCTTGGGCTTGAAAGCAGATGGGGACCCCACACCCGCCTCGCAGGAAGTCTCTCACGTCTGCAGAGCAAAGTCTTTCGTGAGAGTCCCGGCCAAAGCTTTCCAGGAAGCTAAATGGCTACAGAGGGGTCACCTGGGCACGAGGGCATGACGGAAAGCCACAGGCCCTTGGTCCTAAAGACAAAGCTAACGGCTTCCTAGCTGAAGGAGGCCCTGGGGCAGATGCATCTGTAGGTTAGGCCCTGACCGTAAAGACTGAGGACGCTAGGTTTGGGGACACAAACTTCACTTGACAGGTGAGGGGACCGAAGCCAAGCGAGAAAAGGCAGCCTATCTGAAGGCCACCCACCGGATGGGTCAGAAGCAGGAGCAGGGTCCAGAACCCATTCCAGCCCCAGGGCTGTAGATCTCCTATGGAAAAGAACCATCTGCCTGAGGCAGGATGGAGAGACGTTTGGGTGACACGAAGGGCTCTTAGAGAGGGAAGTACATGGGCTGGACGGGTGGCTCAGTGGTCAGCAGCCGTGGCTGCTCTCTCAGAGGACCTGGGTCCCACTCCCAGCACCTCCATGGTTACTCATGGACTGCGTAACTCCAGCCCTGGGGGATCCAACACCTTCTCCGGCCTTGGGCACCACACACATAGGCTACACAGACATACACACAGGCCAAAAAACAAAACAAAACAAAACAAAACAAACCACCCACACGACGCAAAACACATAGCTTTTAAATAAATAATTAACTGGAAGAGAAAGAACGGCACTGAGCTTTTGGGGGGGGGTTCTCACTCTAGCACCTGTCTCCAGAGGATGAGTAGTGGGTGAGTCCACTCTGACTTCCCACCGCCTCCCAGAGCGAAGGCCTGTCTGGCTATCCCCTGCGGGCGCCGCCCCCCAACTCCCGCTCAGCACGTGCTGTCTTCCCGCCTAGGTTCTGCAAGAAGGTGATGGATCCTCTCGACCCACCGCTGAAAAGATGTCAAAGTGGTTTCCTCTTCCACCCCACATCAGCCAGGCTTCCAGAGGGCATTCTGTGCACAGAGCCCTCTCTGGTCAGCGGCTACCTCAACCCCAAGGGTGGGAGGCGCTGACAAGCACCCTGTATGCACTCCAGTCAGGCACCAGCACCACCTGCCAAGCTCATCACTGGCACAATATCTCAATTTTGCTCTTTCCCCCCATCAGTGTGTGGCGTCTGTGGCACTGCAATTAGCTCGAAGAGCCCATCGTTCTTGATAGATGAACCACAGCAAGACATACCGTGACCTGGGCGGAGTCGAGGAACTGCAGACCAAAATAATCTGTTTCCACCAGGTCCAAGTGGTACACAATCTGGTCGAACAAATCCTGGCCTTTGGCATGTTTCTGGAAGACAAACAGGGACATGAAAATGAAGGGTATGATAGATGGATAAGAAGCAAATTATTATTATTATTATTATTATTATTATTATTATTATTATTATTATTATTATTTTGGTTTTTTACGAGACAGGGTTTCTCTGTAGTGGAGGCTGTCGGTCCAGCCTGGCCTCGAACTCACAGAGATCCGCCTGCCTCTGCCTCCCGAGTGCTGGGATTAAAGGCATGTGCCACCACTGCCCGGCAAAGCAAATTATTTTTAAAAGCCCTTTCCCGCTCTATAAATTGCATGCATGCACACAAATCTGTACATCTTTAATTAGTCTAATTTAAGTGAGGTAAGGATTTGTAATTACAGATACTCAAACGCCATGCATGCACTCCTACGAGGTCAAAGACCCAGCTGAACACTGGCATCCCTCTCCCTTCTCTCCTTACAAGGAGGCAGCTTTCTGGATGAAAGACTTCACATGATCATCGTGATCATCCCAAGCTTTTCCCAGACCAGGCACCCTGCAAAGAGGTGTGATGAGCTCAGCTCCAGCACAGCCACACCTGGGCTGGCTGTCAAGTCAGGCCACCTTAGCAACTCTGCTAGTTCTTGTCCAATGCCTTGGCCAGCCTCCTCGTTTGACAGGGCTATCAAACCAAAGCCCGGGGAAAACAGCAGCTCTGCCACAGTGCACAGCCGTCCAGCTAAGACTCAAACCCAAAGGCCAGGTTCTGTGTGGTTCACAGAAGGAGCCCAAACACAAGAAGAGAATCGGATGCAGCAGCCCCACCTGCTACCTAGAGACAGGCACATCTCCAAACAGGCTGGGGGCAGATGCTTTCCCAGCCTCTGTTTAGGAAGACAGAGGAGATCTCAAACAGAAAGCTACGGCAAGAAGACTCAGACCTCCGACTAACGAGGAGGCTTATTAGTACTCATCGAGGCAGAAGGCAGGCACGTGTCTCTGATAAAATCCACACCACAGCAAGTGCATTTAAACGGGGCACCAAAGAAAAACACTGACGGAGAAAACAAACAGCAACGTCATACAACGACGGGAGAACCCACTCCTTATCACAAACACCGGCGATCGACGGGAAAGCAGCAGCCGGCATCGCCGGACCCTTCCCTGGAGGGAAGAGGAGGCGGCAGCGAGCACACACGTTCACTCAGACGGAAGAGAGAGAACCGTGAAAACTGCTGATGGTCCATAGGCCCTGCGTGAGCATGGGTCAGGCGGTGGTTGACGAGAGAAGGCATCAGCAGTGAGCCGAGCAACCAGAGGACCACAAGCCGTGTGCGCGCGCAAGAATGAGGCGTCCGTGCTTCAAGGGCATTGAGACGCCCAAAGCGTGCAAAGGCAGTCCCGAACACAGGGACGTTTGTACATGATATGCATAGTCATCACTCCAGCGCCACTCAAGAAGGACCCAAAGGCACAGATGCTCAAATCCCTCATACACACGGCAAGTGAGCTATGCGTGGCCTCTCTTGTGACTTCAGTCCTCCAGAGAGCCCATGACACCACAGATGTCGTGTGAAGAGCTGTTTCTTGCTTTACTGTGCTGACTAGGGAATGACCTAATGCAGAGAACGTATAGAAGAGTCTATACACGCCCAGTACTGATGCAACTGTGTTTAGTAGTTTCATTCCAGTCAGGGTCGGGAAAGGGCTGACATGTCTGACAGAGAATAAATGAAAAGAACTATTACAATTCGATGAGGAAAAGGCAAGCGTCCAATTGAGAGCCAGCAGGTGGGTGCATACAGCTCTCTGAAGACAGGCTAGAAGGGTTGGGTAGACACCTGGGAAGGTGAGCAGCACCAGCAGTCACGAGGACAGGCAAAACCGTGGCAACAACCAGACCCCACCCCATGCCCGCTCAGATGGCCCGGAGAGAAAAGACCTAACCACAAGTGCTGGACACACTGGACTCCTCCTCACAGACTGCTGACGGAGTGACAGGCCGCAAGCACACTGAAGAACACTCCACCAGCTCCCAAAACGGTTGCAGTTCAGATTAGCGCCCGGCTTGCAATTCCATCTCGAGGTACATATCCAAGGGAAATAAAAATGCACGCTCACGGAAGTGTTGCACGTGGACGTTCGCAACGTTATTCATGACTCCAAAGAGGCAGGGACGACTGAAAGGGACATCCGTCGATGACCAAAATGCAGATTATTCATTTGGTGGACGATTACTTCACCATGAAAATGACTGGGATACTGATGTATGCTACCACAGGGGTGGACTCAGGAAACCCTCTGCCTCAGTCAAAGCAGTGAAACCTGTACGACCCTCTCGTAAGAAAGGTCAGAGCGGGCAAACCACAGGGACAGAAATTAGGTTAGTGGTAGCTTAGAGTTGAGGGTTGAGGCCAGGCTGGTGTTTTACCAATGACACATCCTACAAGTGACTGCGTTGACAGATGCAGAATTCTGCGTCCACTAAAGGCCTCTGGATACTTTGGAAGGTGATGTACAGCATATGGATTCCAGTAGTACCATCACACACACTACCACATCTTTTCTTGACTGAAGAGCCCCAGCATGCCAAATAATTGGGAACGAGAGAAAAGTCGCAACATCAACATCCGGCAGTCTGAATGACAGCAGAATGGCAACTCCCATCCCATCCAGTGACCGGCCACAGTGTCCCTGGGACAGAACATCCCGCCTCCGGGGTCAGCAAATTGCCTCACAGTCTCTCCACAAGATCCAGCCTTGGGAAAAAAAATACTCTAGACACCCCATAATGCAAACTATCCCATTTCTAGTATAGGAAGGAGAAGAGTTGGGGTAGGGAGAGGCAACCCTAGGTTCAACGATCTAAAAGACGTGTCTTCCCAAAGGCAAGGTCAAACCACAATGCCTAGGAGAGACACACAGACTCACACACCGTCTAGGATGCACGCTCCCGGGTGAGAAACAGTGACCACAATAAAGTCAGGGTAGCTGCTGCTCATGAGGGGAAGGGCGTGCAAGGGCGGGTGGGGGGTGGGGATAGGGGGACACGCCCGGCCAGCACTCAGGGTTCTACCTCAGGAGACGGGGAGCTAGCATTCTGGTAACTCATCAAACTACACATTATCTGCACATCTCTACCTACAGGGCACATACAAAGTAAAAACTCGGGGGGGGGGGGATGAAGCTTCATCACAGAGGACAAGAACAATATCACAAGGCCCCGGGTTCCAATCCTCAGCATCTACCCCCAAGACAACAGGCTGCACACTCTCCTTTCTGGGCCAAAGCTCCTCTGAAGACGGCCACAGCAGACGCAGAGGGCTAAATGTGAAAAGATAAGGCCTCTACAGCGCACCCCACCGGATAAAGCAAGCCAGCTAAGGTCCCAAGCACGAGGGCAGAGAACAGCGGCAGGCCAACACTACAGATACTGCCCCACCAGCGGCGAGGGCAATGACAGAGGGAGACTCGTGTAAAGAAGTAGATGAGCTTCGGTTCAGACTACACCCACCGTAGTCAGACTGGCAAGACGGCTCAGCGGATCAAGGCGCCTGCCACACGAGCCTGACGACTGCATTAGACCTCTGGAACCCAAGTGAAGACGGAAGGAGAGAATCGTCCCCACAGGGTCGCCCCCCCTCGCTTCCACACACGCACCACGGCACGTACACACCCTGCCCCTGCCCCGTGCACCAGGCACACACAATAATAAATAAGATTCTAAAACATATGCATTGTATATTATGAACAGCTTTATAAAACAGGTTATCTGCTGAGGCAAAAGTAGACATATTCAAATGGAAAACTACTGAGCTCCTCTTTAAAACTGGCCTTTGGACAGCTGTCAGACAGCAAATGCGACTGGGGGCGGAGGGGGGGCGGCGGGGGGGAGGGGCCCCAACCCTGGCACTCTGCCTCCTTGCCCGTAACAACCAATCCTCAGGATGTGCTCCCTGTTGCTCTCCGGTACAGCCAGCCCCAAGCAACACCTGTTACTGTGGGGCCAATGCCTCATTAAGTAGTTTCCTAGTGGGACAGAACTAGTTAAGAAAGGCTTTAGCAGCAGGACCACGGCAGAAGGCCTAGGCTGGGAGGAAGCAAGAGACTGCGCTCGGAGGGGCCCAGATGGACTCCCCACTGCGACGTGAAGCAGCTCATGGTTCCCCCAGACCCCTACCTCCCCAACCCAAGCTTGTCCTGCAGGTGTCTGCATGGTGCCCCAAATACACGGAGCCATAAAACTCGAGCAACCCCAGAATCCGGTCTGCACCCCACCCATGCAGGCCTCTCTCCGTGGATTAAGGACTTACCCTCCGACACGTGATTTCATCATCCACAGGGGATTCGCTGACGATGTGCTGATGATGTGCACACCGCCACCCTGCTTCATTCCAAACACTATTCCCCCTCCATCCTTTGGGCAGAGGCGGGGAGGGAACCTTTCCACGGGAAGGCGATCCTCCTGTCTTGCCGGACCCCTCCCTTGGTGGGCTCATGCCCGCCTCCTGTGTATCTGCAAACACCAGTCACCTGTGTCCCCTACTAGACCTTCTGCTAGCACAATGAGTTCCCAGGCAGCTTCACAGGCAGAGGTGAAGCAGAGGCCGGGTCGGAGGGGACCCTCAAAGCAGACTCTCACAGGGTCACCAGAAGGATGAGGGTAGGAGGGGCTGAGGCCACTATACTTGAGCCCACTCACTGCCTCTCAGCCCTCCTACGCTGCAAAGCCAGCCGTCAGGCCCCTAGAGGCTCCGGATAACTCCGTTGACCTGTAATGTCAATCATCTCATCGCATGGAGCAGCACGGTTTATTGCTCCTTCCTCTCAATCCCGCAGGTAGGTGCAACGCCGTGGGGTGCAGCTGTCTAATGCCCCCCTCTTCCATCTCACTCCTCCTTCCAAGTGAGAACTCCCTGAAGAGAGAGCCTAGTCACGCTCGCCCAAGTAACCACACCCCTGTCCCTCCAAAGCACAGAGCCTAGCTGCCACACATCAGCACCTACATAGGTAACGCACGGGCAAGATAACCAGGGAGCTGTATGGT